AAACCAATTTCAACCCCCATCGAACCCACACTGCGTATGAGTTATGAAAATCATTTTCGAACATCATCAGCAGCAACTGTGACAGAGAAATGCTCACGAATACTTCAAAGTCAGAAATTGATTTAAGTCAATTAATTATAACGACCCGTAACAACAATAACAAGAATCCAACTTTGGGGCCACGCCCTCTAACCAACATGTCAGGCATTCCCGCCCCCCTCTTTTTGGCTCATCCTTTTCGAGCCATAAGCTCAGAGGGCCACGTCACGTTTGTGCACAGCAAGAAAATGTGCCTAAGAAATAGTGGTAATTATGTGAGTAGGAAAATAAACAAAAATGTTTATGAAATTACAGTATTTACTTTTCCAAAATATATTTTATTAAATAATATATTGTGTTAGATTTATATACTTTAAACACTTTTATTTCAAATGTACCATATTTTTCTCCCTGTGTGGTCCAACATCAGTTGGCCAGCTGCTTTTGGGTGGCCTATGCTTTTCGGGGAAGGGCTTGTTGGGTTGCACAGAAAGACCATGTAATCGTATTAAGCAAACGGAACTGGTAGCTGGCCGAGCACGTGTTTGCCAAGAGTGAAGAGGGAAATATGTATAGGTATGAAGGGGGGACAGGCAGACGGGTGGACAGGTGGCATGGGGTATACAGGGGTACTTAAAGGTAATTGTATTTGTGCACTGCAAACATGGCGTGTTTTATTAACAGAGAGAGAAAGAGCGAGAGTGGAATGTGTTTACTCATATGTCTTGTCAAAGACAAGTTAATTATTTTACCATGTGTAGTTGTGTGTGTGTGCGTTGTTTATTTTTGGCCATCGATTTTCACACGCTCTATATTACAGCACACACAAAAAGCCGAATTTACATGAGGATTCTGCTGGCTCAATGCCTTGGCATATTGTCGTCCTTATTATAAACTGGGATCTCTGTTTCTTTGCTTTGTCACGCCCCTATGCCGCCCTCCTTGTTGTTGGGCTTCAGAGTTTTTCCAAATATTTGCACAATATTTGTCAGAATTAATTAACAATATGAATGAAAAGGGGAGAAAGAGAGAAAACTGTGTCGTCTCAGCATATTTCAACTTTTTTTTTGTTGTTGTATACCAGCACTTGTTTACTCGAAAGCGCTTTGCATAAATTGCAGAACACAAGCCGTAAAAAAATGTGCACAATTTAATTAAATTTATGCGAGCAAATTTCTTTGGTCTGGAAAATACCAAAGAAATAAGAGCGAAATGCCTGGTAATTATCTAAAAGTTTAAGGACATGAAAAAGAGACAACTATGAAGAATTATAACTAGAAGTTGAAGGATAATTGAAATAAAGTTAGGACAACAATAGGTCAAAGTATAGTTTTCTGTTGAAAACTTAATTATTTTAAAATGTTGAAATAGTTTAAGAAGATAACTTTATTCAGGGTTTACATTTAATCTTAGTTTTCATTTGATAAATTGTTGAAAAAGAAATGAAGTTTCAAGCATAAACTCATAATTGTGGCTCAAGTTTCATTTTTCAGCAATAATGAAACATCAATAATAATAATAATAACATCAAATTTGATTGATGAACATTAGTTGTAGGCAATTTATTAATTACAATATTACTTGGGCACTTAAAACTAATTTATTCATTATCATTAATACTTCCTGCTTTCCTTACGTAGCTCAGAGTGTTTTCCTACCAATTTGCCCCTGTAATTCACACTACAATCCATCACTATCCGTTTTTGGCCATTTGTCTTCCCAACCTTTCCAGCATTCCTGCTCACCCCGCAGAGGTCTGTCACTCTCTCGTGCTCATCATCATGAAGGACTAACGAAGCAGCCAAAAACCTGCTTATAATTACCCCACCAGATTACACATTGCCTAACAAGGCCCATTCATTAATGTCATCAAATCCTTGAAGGACAGGCAACACCGTCTTCTCCAGCAAATCTGCAACATTATGTCAACACACCCTCGCACACACACACACAGAGAGACCCGGCAAATGGGCCACGTTAATGGCAGATCCCCGGGCTCCTGGCCAGGACTCCCAAGCCCCTGAGACTTTCACAAAGTTGCAGTTTGCTGCAAATGCTATAAAAAGCCAAACGGAAACGGCAGCAACAGCAGTGGCAACAATAAAAGCCGAAACATCTAGGCTGTAGAGATCTCAGTTTTGGCCAGCGGCTTTTATTTCAGGTGGACGTGAATTTCCAGAACGAAAACGCTTTGGTTTTATGGCTCTTTTTGCGCTAGTTAACATTTTCGCAGCTACAAAAATGTCGCACGGTTACCTGCAGGTGCCAGGCAGTGACGATGCCAGCTTAACGATTGCCCAAAAACATTAAATTCATCAAAGAAAATGTTACAAAAATCTTATTAAAGTTTTATAGGTCTTTCTCTTGCGTAACTTGTACATTGACCAACAGGAAATTATTTATATTAAAGAGAAGCTTGTTTTAATATTAAATTTTATGGATATTTGATTTGAAATAAAAAACTTCGGACTAAATTTTTGTCAAAAGTTAAATATTTACTTATTTTTTTAATAATTAAGGTTCCTAAAATTGGATTTTTTATTTCCACCTTACAATATTATTTACTGCTAGAATTGTTTTTTCAATTCCCCTTTTTTTTTTAAACATATAAAGTAGTTTACCGCTCGTTATAACTTGTAATTCCCAACTGGTTTGTCAGCATGAAAATGGACAAAATGTTGTTTGTTCCGTGTTGAATGGCTTTTCCTGGCAAAAATGGGAAAAGTGCTTGCCACTTGGCAATGTCTCTTCTGAAACTTGAACAACTCGAGGCTTCTACTCTGGCAATTCGAGATTGCCTCTCCAGGACACTCGGTCCCTTCTCATACCCGTCCGCCCGGTAACTTGGCTCTTGGCCAGTTTGAGCCAACCGTGCGCCTTTCATGCTGCCTGTGTTTACAAGCTAAATTCATTCGCCGCCTCTCGTCGCCTGCCGTCATCAGCAATGTGATGATATCCATGTACCCCCGATAGTTCCTTCACCTCGTACTCCTTCATCCTGAATTCCTATCCCTTTCGCTATCTACCATGCAGCCAGGTATTGCATTTTTTCCATCTCGGTCCTCATTGTTGTTAGCCTCCTGACAATGCAGTTGGTAATGGCAAAATGGCAGCAACAACAAAGGTAACTGGAGCCTCATCAGCATCATCAGGATCTATTGCCTGGCGGCAACCTGACAACACGGAGTGCACTCGGAGAAATAGAAGGGTCGAACTATTTTAGTACTAAAGATGTTTGTTATTATTTAAAGTATTGTTTTTAGTACATTTTTTGGTTGTATTTCGTTTATTGATCCAAGGACATACAACTCTTTGATTATAAATATTTAAAATATTTAATAAATATGATGAATGCCCATTTATTTTGCAAGTGCAGAGTGTTTTTGCGGATGCGTGTGCACCAGTTGCCATGGCGATATATGATAAGTTTATGCGAGTCAGTCAACGTTAACGTTTGCATCTTTCAATTTGTGAAACAAGTCTAATTTCTACCCTTAGATGGTCAACCCGATTCCCTCTCATTTCCCGCATTATCTGGCTATAATCCTAACATTATGACTGACGTTGGACATAATGTCGGACTCGAACAATATGGCCAACAAATGCCTCGCTCCATGAGGCTGCAAAAGTTGCAGACCGCTGGCCGCTGACCATTTGGCCAAGTTAAGTCGGATTTATGTTGATGGTGCAGTCAAGTTATGAGTCGCCTGGCAGCGACTCCTAGTGATGATCCTGGGCCAGCTCCTAGTCATGCCATATCCCCGAGTGCTGGTCCGTTGCCATGGCAAATGTCCGTTGCTTTGGTGCTTCGCTATAATTGACGTTGCAGGTTTCAGTTCAGCCACTGAAATTTTTTCTGTCGTAAATATTCAGCGAACGTCATGAAAAAAGTATTCTTTGCTTTGGGAGATGTGAAAAAAGGGAATAAAGTTTAACTTTTTACATGTACATATGTAATAGCAAATTGTTTGGAACTTTACAGAGATCAAAAACTAAATTTTAATTAGCTTTCTGAAGTTTTTACTTTTAATTTTTACAATGTACTTTATGTACTATCATTATCATAATTATGCTTTTATTCAAATAAGACAAATAATCCTGAGACCATAAAATATCTGTTTTAGATACAAAGCAGATCATTTATGGTCTCAGAGAAACAGATATATGCCCTCACTACATAAAAATACAATTTCCAATTTTCTGCAAAAGTGACTTAAAATAAATTCGTTTTACCAAAGTGCTCATAGCAAACTAACGGATAATTTGATACATGTTCTTAGCTCTGCGATAGCCTGCAATTCCACCCTCTCTTCAACGATTTAGTAGCTCCGCAACTAACCCAAGTCCTTCCAACATATGTGCGATATGCGAACAAGTTCTAGGGTTTATTTTGACACATGTGTGATGGGTAAAATGGGAAAATGTTGTATACATCTGGCCATCAGCAGCAGCGAAATGAAATGGAAAGCCACATGGCGGCATTATGGATTAGTTGTCCAGCTTTTGGAGCTGACAAATAAAACGTTTTTCGACTGTCACACAAAGTGATGAGCTTTGAGGGTTTACATGTAGTTTGTGCTGTTTCCAAGTTTATTTTTTGGGAACCTTCTACTTCTTAGTGGCTTCTGGAAATACATACAATTTTTTAAATCTGAAAAATTTTGTCTGGGTCATGTTCTATGAGTAGATGCATGTATATTATTAAAGTTATTTTATTTCCCTTCCTGAATATCCGGAAATCAATGCCAGAATTCAAATAAAATGCAACAATAATAGCACCAGGCCTAGCCATTGTTAACCAATTGTTGTGGCAACCCTTGTGGCAGTCCTTTAACTATTTAATTGCCACTTGAGAGCGGCAAACCAAAAGCTCCTGACCATTCTTTAACAATTGTTGCGGCAAATATTATCCCAGAATATTCATGATTTTTATTGTATGCTCTCTTCACAATTTTTTCCAGATTGCAAATTGAAATGGCAACAGCAACAATGTGAGCGGCCACAAGAGCAATAATCCCAAGCAAAGAGCTCTGAAAATAAGCAGCATCGAGAATAATAAACAACCAAAGAATAGGAAATACGAAATATAAGGGACAAATCATAAGCAGGAATGCCGGGAAATTGTGGGCTGTGAGCTGCAGGATGCGAATGCGATGCGAAGGCGACGCAGATTGCATCCAAGGACTGCTGGGCCAGCGAACAATCGGTGGGGCAAACAATGCGAACTAATAAAGCACTTAAGCGGATAGACAACGACGACGACGACGACGACCAGCAACGAGGACACCCAAGTGGAAGCAATACTCCAACTCCATCTCCGGCAGGAGCAACAGCAGCTTCGGCTCTAATCAAAGTTAAATTTTCCGTACCACGGGCCGTATGATCAACGGGCATTGGATTGATACGCAGACAATGGCGCAACCGCCCCAAAACAGACGCGACACGGGTCGCCGTTGTCCCCCATTGGGACAGTCGCAACGGGAGAGCGACGAGGATGAGGTCCTCGTCACCTCTCGAGCCACCACACCGCTGACAGCCAACGGAGCTACCACTACCAGACTGGTGGCTGTTCAGCCGAAGGACATGCAACGAAACCACCTGCTAAAGATGCCAACCGCAACAATAGAGAAACCAACGATAACAGCCACCAAATCATCATCAGCAGAAGCAGCAGCAGCAGCAGCAGCAGCATCATCGTCAGCAGTAAGAGTCCCTCGCCGGGCACTAAGGATACTGGCCCAGAGCCTGCTGCTCCCAGCCCTAATCCTGGGCGTACTTGTGGGCAGCAGCCAGGCGGGTTTCGCCTGCCTCAGCAATCCCTGTGTGTTCGGCGTCTGCATCGATGGCCTGAACAGGTAAGTCCACGCAGAAAATTTCAAACAGCAAATGGGCATGATTAGAGATGGCAATTACACTGAAACTAAATTAATTTTACTTGCTTTACCACCACAAAATATGGATTTTCTTCTGCTAATCAAGTAGATTTCAAATGTTTAGTCATTTTCTTTAAGCATCTCCTTGCACTTCAGTGGACCCTAGAGCGGGCAATTTACCATCCATAGTACGATTTTTTCCGGCTTATTATCGGCCCGGGCAAGGGCCAATAAGCCCGTCCAACGCATTTCGAGTGGCAATAAACTTGCGCCACTTGAGCATCAGGAGGGCTCGCAGTTTCAGTTGCAGTTCTGCTCTCCGGCCATTCGATACGATACCAAATAATGGCATATGTGGAGCCCTTGATGCTGATGCCCCCACTTTGCAGGGAAATGAATTTGCACAGATGTTTCTCCTCCTCTCCTGATGCAGCCTTGGGTTTCATTTTCCAGCAGGATTCTCTTACCGCCATCCTTCACACATCTTTTTTTTAATGCATGTCCGTTTAAATGGGGTTAAGTTGCGGCCACTGCAAGTGCGGGAAAATCAGGAAAAGCGAGAGAGAGAGGGAGTATGCTGAGTGGTTTTCAATTGCAAGCAGCAGGAAAATTATGAACTTGGACGGTCAGCCAAAGTGCATTCTCAATGCGATAAATTTACAGCCCAGATATGCTAAAATTTTCAAGTATTAATAAATTTTGCCCTGATTTTCGAAGAAATTTAATTAAAGTACAAAAGTCTATATAATTACTTATATAAATTAAATTATGTTAATTTCGGCACCAAACTCTTTTCGCATCTTCGGTAAAAGTAATCTATTCAAATCCTTTGCCAGTACCAACCGGAATCTTCATTTCATCCCAAATCCAAGCCAAAAGAGCCCCTTAAATTGCTGCACTTCTCGCCACTCAGTGGGGTAAACTGTGAGGCTTAGCTGCCACAGACTTCGCCTCACGATTTAGCCTCAGACAGTCAGATATATATACATTATGCACAAACAAGTTAGAAGACGATGGACTTTTTTCTATTTCCCCCACCACTTCTGCTACGCCAACCAACATCGCTCTACTTGACGCCATTTATAGAACTAAGTAACTGCTATTTTATTTTTCCATGCTCACTTCGCGATATATGCAGCCCGCTAATCCCGCCCAGAACCACCCAATAGTGCCGTCAGGAAAAGCGGTTAAGATATTTTTCCACGATAGCTTCGCCCGAGAGCTGCAAGTCAAATGCGAAAACCAGAAGCTTTAAATTTTTCCCCGGCTGCATTTGCCAGGCTGAAAAAAAAAGAAAAGGAAAAACTAAGGCGATGGATGGAAAAGTTTATGTGTTGGCAAGCGAAATTTATAGCTGCAATTAAATTTAACACGATGCCATGAGATTTAAACGGATTAACTGAATAGTTTTCGACCATCTTAAAGTTGGCAACAAAAGGAAAAGCAACGGCGATTGATAATCGCGGAGGAGTTTACTGCCACTGAAGAACATTGATATTTTATTGGTTTATCCCGGTTTATGCGTTCGATAAGCTTGCCTTAAACCGTTTTATGAGTTGGCTCTTAAAAGTGCACAGTGGCGGCCAATAAAAGTCTACTAAAATAGTTGGAAAAGAGGATAGGGATATGATTTGTTTGGCAAATTGCCAGAACCATCAAGTAGTTGGTGCCGTTGAAATTTGCCTAAGAACAAAGTGGTTCGTTGCTTTATTATTGCCCACTTTTAGGCACCTTCTTGAGTGGATTCAATTCGCATGAGAATTCTTATGTATAAATAGCGAAGCACATCCCAATGACTGCTTCTCAAGAACCCATACACTTTTACCGATCGGCCTTCCACTCTGGTATTCAGTCCGCAGAGTGGCAGCCAAATGCCATTATGTAGTCATTTCCCAATTGCTTCTGGCTGAAGGAAACAAATCAAACGGTCTCTGGGGTGAAAATGTCCAACCGAAGGCCATAATCAGCCGGAATCTCGAGGGTTTCACTCGGTTGATACAGACTGAAACAACGGACTGTGAGAACAACAGGCGAGTGTGTCTAGCTTAGACCATAACAGACAAGTGCAGCGGAAGGCTTCGGCTGCCCGGCCACCTGCATCCTAATGTAATCCATTATAAAGGACAACAGTAAGCCAGACCTGAGCCCCCAACAACACATCCCCAGGAGTGGGCATGGGGGTAAACTTCTTTAATTAAGCTGGCGATGCTATGGTTACCTGGCATCAGCTCCTCCATGTCTGCATTCTATCCGAGCAGCAGCTTTCACTCTTCCGCAGCAGCTCCCCTGACACATTTTTGGCTCTTTGCATTTCCGCTTCCGTTTCATTTTCAATTTCAGGCAGGGCAATGAAATAGGAATAGAAATGGAAATGGAAAAAGAGCACCAACCCAATCCCAAATGTCTACCAAATATTTATTTCCACAACTCAAGTTACACGTCGGCCACAAGTTTATGGCACTCAACTGGCCAGCCAGTTGGTTGTAGGGTATATAATATGTGTGCAGTGCCTGCAGGCATGCAGGAAGATCTAGAAGATCTGGGCGTGAAAAGTCAGTGTAATTTATTCAGGAAAATACTGCAATACAGGGGAACATGAGTGCGAGAGTGGGAATATATGGTTACATATTCAATTGATCTAAAGAATTTTAATAAAAACTATTGTACGTTAAAAATATTAGTCAAAAAGACAACTTTACAGATTTTTTAAAATAATTAAAATGTATATCTTTATTCATATATTCCTATATTTTGGTTACTATACAATTGTAATTTTTTAATTAGTCCTTTCCGATGTAAACCCACCAAGCTATAGATTGAGTTTTAGCTCCCTAGTTGTACGGGTTAGATAACCAGAGGGATATGTGCCGTATCTATCCACCCATCTGGGCCGGAACCGTCACTTCAATAACGCCAAACTGCCATTATAGTCCGGAGTGGTGTGCATCGTGTTATCTACCCTCTCCGTATTGCCCGCCCTCCTGTATTGTGCCATTTGCTGTTACTATTTTTATCCAAAGCATTTTGTTCGCCGTCTCGTTACACCACACTCTCTAACTATGGTATATTTTTTTGTTGTTTCATTTCTTTTGCTGTGCCGCTGCTGCTGCTGCTGCTGCTGCTGTTTTTTCGCAACGTTTGATGCATCATTGACACACCGTTCCACCCACGGATAAACCTGGAACTCGTCCTCCGCCCACGTGTGCCGATGATAACAACAACAACAACAACTACCATCCGGAACTATGGGGAAAACTACAACTACAACTACAACTACGACTATAACAGCTCGTACTCGTGTTACTGCATTGATGGCTACACAGGGATCCAGTGCCAAACGAATTGGGACGAATGCTGGTCGGGCCCCTGTCAAAATGGCGGGACATGTGTGGACGGTGTGGCCTACTACAATTGTACGTGTCCGGAAGGATTTTCCGGTAAGTGTACTACTCCTGCCATCTATACACCCCCACCCATGGGTGTACAGACAAGTGCCTGAATGCGGTTTATATTTGGGGCCAGAATCATCCAGCTGAAATGCACAAAACTAAACCTTTTTATATGCACAAAACATATTGAGAAGACTAACCTTTACTTTGATATTATTAATACAAGAAAAAGTAACAATAATATTAAAATACTTTATAGAGGAAGGTAATCAATTCAAGAAAGTATTATTTAAAAAGAAAATCGATTGGTAACGATTAAGAAATTAATTAAGTACACTAAGCAAACATTTAACATATATTTATTTATGCGAATCTAAGGATAACCTGAAGACCTTAGAATTTCAGGGTTTTTTTTTCAGTTCACAGTGCAGTTAGGCAAATAGGAAAAACGGGGAATAAAGGACTATGCACGCAAAGTGGAGTGGCAAGCCAGTTGAGTGGGTGAAGTTCCTCTTCCGTTCCACGTGCGAAATGTATTTTTATTAAGCCAAACATAAAAAACTCAGTCTCGCTTGGTGGTTTGCACTTGGTCTAGAGACAGATCCCCGAGCCGAGAAACGCGTACTCCAGCAAATAGAGAGGAATTCCTGCCAGGACGCGCGAACACACAGGATTTTCTTTTTTTTGCCCCAAACGTATTTGTAAAATTTACGCTAGACCAGGGAGCAAGAGGGGGGAATAAATGGAGAAAAATAAAAATATAACGTACAATGCTCGTTTTTACTTATTTTCCCGGCATTTGCTCACATGTGTCTATTCTTCTTTTTAACGCGCCCTGAGAGAGCCAACGGGTAGGAGGAAAAACTCCGAATATAACACAGAAAAAAGAAAATAGGGAGTCATTGAAGTGCAGAAGCCTTTTATACTCTTAAAAAAGGTGTTTGATTTGGTAGGAAGAGACTTTTGAGGAGAGACTTTTAAACTTTCAATGGGTTTTTTTTTTGTAGTAAAAAATAAGGATTTACATTTGAAGCCATTATACGGAGAAGAAAAATGGGGAATGTATGTATAAGATACATTTATTGGGACTATTTGTTGATATACTAATCATGTTTGTAACTCTTGAGTTGTTGTATACCTATTGTTGTACCTATAAGAAATAAAACAAAATTATAATGCCTTATAAATAATAATTATAAATAAATATAACTATCAAATAATGAATTTAGATTATAATAAACATGATAATTATAATAAGAAAGAGAGCTTTAAGGCCTTTCCTTTGACCTCTTATACCCCAATCTGGGAGAGCATTTGAAAAAGTGAGATGATCAAAAGCAAGCGATAAAAACGCTTTGAGAGATCTCCAAAGACGTTAAAACGAGGGCAATGAGAAGGGACAAACGGAGGAAAAGTCGAGGAAAATGCGGAAAGTGGAAATGGGAAATACGAAAGCCGAAGCTGGCAAACCGGCTTTAATGTTGTCTATTGTGGTAGTCAATGTTGGGTGCTTAACGTGCCACTTGCCACGTGTGTTTGTGTGTGAGTGTGTGTTCGTATCTGTGTGGGCCAAGTACGGAAGTCTAACCATGAATGTATCTAATGTTCATCCTTTGGACGCCGTGTACTCTCCACTCGTACGTACACACATAAACACATTTACTTGTGGTACGTGCGAGAAGCACTTAGTGTCCGTCCATATCCTCTTTACACTCTTTTTTTCTTCTCTTATCCCCTCGTATCCAACCCCTTGAACATCCCCTCCTTGAGCGTCGCCACAAAGTTGACTTTATAAAATTTAGTGAAATTTATAGCCAGCGCATCTAGGTGTTATACGTACACTATATTTGTATTTGTAGCCGTATCAACGCCAAACTAAAACCGAAATACAAATTGCTGCAAATTTGTTCAGGAACTTTGCTGATGAGTTCAACGAGTGGACGACGAACACCAGCTGAACAATCAGGCCAAGAGAGATGGCCGAATGGATGTGGGGATGTGGGATTTCCGAGTAGACCAAAGTCATTGAGTCAGTCAGTTTGGCTCCAAAAGGATCTTGGGAATAAATTACAGACACACAGGCAGAGAGACACAAATGCAGGCTAAGCCCGGAACACGGGTTACATGTGTTTTCCGGCTGGCCGACTGCATCTGAATTGAAATAATGGAGATGCGAATTGCGGGTGATTGAAAGTTGTGTTTTTATTTCAAGTCGTCCTTAAGACTTTGAGTGTGTTTTGATTGAGCTCGAGGAGGGGTTTTATAGTGTTAATATTTTAGGGAGAAGTATGTAAATTCAAATATTTTTCTCTTTTTTTCGAAAGTGAAGTTATAAAATACCTGCTTTAATTATGGAATTTATTTTAATATATTTAATATTTAACTTTCTAAGCGAAATTTTCTTTTGGTTAAAGAGTACGGAGACTTTAATTTAGCTTGAAAATTATGTAAAATTACTAGATTGGGTCCACAAATAATATTCAAATTATGTATTTTAATTTTATAAATGCAGTAGTTTTTAATGAATGACTCTTCCTTTACCAAGTAATTTTTATGCCACAATATAAATCCAATTTATTTAAAGAAACTCCCCGCATAAATCCAAAATAACTGCAATCCCTACAATTGTATTACTCAAAGGACTCGCTTAGAGAGTAAACTTCCCCCCAACGTGGAATAACTTTCATCGTTTTGCTCCCCAGCCGAAACAATTGCATTAATTTAACATAAATAGAGCAGAGTCGAGCGAAGCAACACAAACGCTGGAAAAACAAAGGCCGGCAAAGTATAAGCACTGCAAATGAAATCAACACAAAAACAAATAAAATTATGCACTGCCTGCAATCTCTTCACTGCTCCGGTTTTCCCACCCATTTTCCACCGATTTTTCCGCAGGAACTAAGCGATTCCATTGCAAATTGCTCGCAGTCGGGGCAGCAAAAATAAGTAAAAAATATATATAAAAAAAAGACAAACCCAAATGTAAATAAAGCAAAAAATTGCATAACAAATTCGGCGCATAAAAAAGGAAAGCGAAATATGCTTTTGGACAAGGCAGCCGCAAAAAATTCTATACATACATATATACACTCATATATAATAAATAGATTTTTTTGCCAAAAGCACGCGAAATGTCGGAAATGAAGCTGTAAAATGCTATGAAAAAAATCAACGAAAAATGCAGGAAACATATTCTAAAAAAAAAAGTACCAACTTAATAAAGAAGGAAAATGCTGGAAAATTTTAAAATGAAATGCAGTGCATGAATAGGAGTCTAACACAAAACAAAGCGAAAGTAACGGATGCAAAGAGAGCTGCGAAAAGAGGCAGGGAAGGCGGAAAAGCAGGAAAATGGGCAGACGCCTCGGGCATTATTTAACCGTTCATTGAGTTTTGGAAAGCTTTCACCTTGGTCACCTCTTCCAGCCCCCCTTTTTAGCCTGGTTTTAGCTCCTTTTCGACCCCATTTTCGGGGGCATTAAAAAGTATTTCCCAATGCAAATGAAAGGGACTACGAGATAATGTAAGAGCGGGAAGGCAGCATTCTAATTAATTTTATGAGCTTCCTTTGCCTTTCCATTGCATTGCGCATATTTACGCCGGGGCTTTTCCTATTTATTTTCCAACGCTTATGTTTATGCCTTTTGAAGTGGTTGCAGGATATTCTCATTATAGGTTGTGTTACATAGGGCTTGCCTTTTGCCAGTTTTACTTACCAATTCTTTGGACCCGTTTCTATAAGTTTGGGGTATGGTTGCTCTCTCTGAAATACGGTCGCTTTGATTGCGTTTTCACTTTTAGCCGCACTTTATCTCTTTGGCCGCTTTGATGCTTTGACCTGATTAAATCAGGCTAATTATGGCGTCAACTGAAATGATACAACATATATAACATTATTACTAATGTGAAATACGTACTAATTATGCGGGCGTAAATTGAAATTTTAATTATATTCACTAAAACTGTGCTGTTTGGGTATATAAAACACGAGTTAAAATGGTTATATGGTGTATTAACTTAAAGATTAAAATTTAATTAAATGAATCTAACGAGTTCTAGGTATTTGAATTAGCCATTATTAAAGGAATATCTTTTGTTCTCAGTAAACCATTTGTGATTTTAGGATAGCAAGCTTATTACGCTTACAAATGAACTCCAAATTTCCCTAATCCTTTTCCCTTTCAATGGCGTCCTTCAGATAAAGTCATAACCTATTTTACATCTCCCAAGGAATCTGCAATCTTCTCTGTGTAAGCCCCTGCGACTTAACCTTGCTCTCCTGACACAAACCCACTCACTCACACGCGTACACACTCGCAATTACGCACACAATCGCAATGGCGGCGCAATCCAATAACAAAGCTTGGGCATTCCTTTGTCCTTTTGCTCCTTCGCTGCTGGCTGCCTTTATGCAATCATTGCAGCCAAAAACCAAAACAATTGGAGATGCGGAAAACAGTGGGGCGGAGGGAAAAGCCTCAGGAAAAACCATGCGAAAAGCTCTAGAGTCCGTTGCATTGCGAAAACAATAAAGTGCGGGACGGGGGGCGCAAAAGGATGGACTCAGCATGGTTGCAGGAAGGTCTTCCTGGGCCTATTCACCATTGAAATTTCGCATTCCGCATTTCACATTCATGCAAATGCAGCAAATCAACAATGAAAAAATAATAAAGGATTGTGCTGGAGAAAATGTGGTCTAGTCGAAGTGGGAAATACTCTTGATCTGAAAAGGGGATCCTAAAAGTGAACTTCTCAATTGTTTTTTTAATTTTATATGAGAATAGTGCTTTAAATGAAATGAAATATTTACGCGTCGAGACTCCACAAATTTGGTTAGCTAGACCCCATTGTTATTTTTTTTTTTTTAATAATGATTGTATAATATAGAAGTATATCTGTTTTGTATGATAGTTTTGAGCACATTTTTTTGTATATTTCAAAAATCCAGTGATTCCTATACCCCACATTTTTCATTATTTAAAGTATTTTATTTGTTTTTAATATTTTCTTCAAGTTAATCCCAACTTAACCATGGCAAACCAACTTATTAGAGTATAAGTATGGAAAAGCATTGAAATTGCAGCCGTGCAGCTTCGCTTATTTTTTCCCCAAGCACTTCTCATTCCGTTTTTCCACACACACACAGATGATATTTTATCGTAATTTTCCTGGGCACCAGACTTTTTTTAGGACTGCTTCATCAGCGGGTTTTGAGCGAGCCAGCGAGTGCGTGTGTGTGTGCATAAATTTGCACCTGTTCAACCTGTTCGCTCCGCTCCACGTTTCCTCGCTGGCAATTTGCACACGTATTCGCGATGCCCAGGTAGATAGGTGCAATCAAGCATCAGGTTGCTCATTCATCGATTCATGGCTTCGTATTTTTGAAGTGCAGCCTCCCCTGATTTTGCTACAGTTTTTAATCAGAACTCGCGGCTTTAATGTTACTCACATATTTAAAATTTTATCACATATTTGCATTCAATCACGTAACTCCCGGCGATTTGCATAAATTTTGTATTTCAATTACCCAGCGGAGAACACAAAGCAATATGTACGCCTCGGTTATAAATAGAATTTTGCTAATCAATTGTCCTTTGGGATTTAGTTTTGTCGCTCGGTTCCGTTGATATTTTGCGACAGAAGCTTAAAATATTCATGACATTATTGATTTTATAATGGCAGCCAGAGAGAGAGAGAGTTTGATGAACTTGCCGCAGGACTACCGCATGGGCGGTAAGCGGTGGGCGGTGTATTTTTGTTTGCTTTGTCACGGGTCCTGGGATTATCCGTGTAATCGAATGCCATTAAGATTTTTATTTGCACGCATAACAGATGTGATTAAATGATTTTCAACGCCAAAAGGCTTAATTGGTTTCAAATATTTATAAACGTAACATTTATAGAAGAAATTAAGCATACTTGTAGTGATTTTTGTTTATATGACAAGGGGATAAAGTTACAAAGCTAAAGCTTTGGGCTTTAAAGGGTCAAAAAAGATACAATATTTGTCTATTTATTTAAGTTTGTGTATAGATTTCCTGTATTTATTTTCACATTTTTTTATGAGCCCCCTCAACAAACTTCATGTATCCTAGGCAACATTAACTGATTAAGGTCAAAAGAAGAAAAAAATCGGAAAGCGTTGCCTTGCTGTAACACATTTATCGATTCATTGCTAACGACCAAAGTCCCACAAGTTCATTAATTAATTAGAGCTCAGCCCCACCCTTTATAAAACATATCAAACACCCATTTTTCCAGCTCCTCCAGCCTTCCCTTTTCCTTTTTTCATTAGCGCAATCTCGAAATGCGATTTTCCCACTCATAAATGTGCCCATTGAACTTTCAAATACAATACTTTCTAATTTTACGCAACGTTGCCAGCGAAGCCAGGCGATGGAAAATGGGAAGGGGGTGTGAAAATTCAATAGAAAATTGAAAATCTAAACTGGGTGAATGTTGTACAAAATGCAATTAATTAAACTTTTAATCCGTGTGGTAGGTGTAAAAGGGCAATGCTATTTTTCCGTGAAGATGAAAGCAAGAGCGTACTATTCCCTTGGCTTTGCAGTTGTCCTTGCCACTTCCGAGGATTCCTCTCGGGAGAAAAGAAATGGAAACTAAGCAATTGAATGGGCAACAATGCGCACCACAAGGCATTCAAGTGCAGGGCGAGCCCTTCAACACTCTAAACAAATTTCTTTAAATTCATTTTTAAAATTTATGTATAGAATTAAAAGAAAATTAAAGGAAGAATCGTAATTAATCGCAAGTTTTCGTAACAGTAAGGAAATAGGGTTTCCGATTATTTTATTAAATTTTTATTACAAAAGTAAGCGCTATCTCTTTTCATTCTAAAAGTATTTAACATGTTGAAGGAAATGTTCTTATAAGAGCAATAAATGAATTTAGTAATTTCCAAACTTTAATTCAAGGTCTCTATATATTTTCCATATTATGTTCCATAAATTCCCTCCAAGTGTAGATATGCGAATTGAAATCGTTACGTTTTCCGCAAAACGGTTGACATGAATTGCTCGGGTTTTCAACTGCGGGGCTCGCTGAGTGAATGGATCCCGTGATTAGTTTCCCTCAGCGCATTCGAAAGCAGGCGGGGCCGCGAAGGGGACATGTCCCCGAATCTAGTGGCATTGCAATCGAAATCGGAATCAGTATCAGCATCGGTGGCATGAGATGAACCCTGAGTGCATTTCATTGCTCACTGTCGCAGGTCGCAGGCAGCGATTTACGGCAATGGAGCCGAAGCATTCGTAGCTGTCCAAAACCGCCCCACAGCCCCAGACCCAAGCCCAAAAACCCCAATTCAATGATAATAGATTGCTCTGGCTGGGATTAGTTTCGCATACAAATTGAGGGAGGGACGACGTGGCGCAAATCCTAACAAGCTAAATGCTATTCTCAGTGCTGGGTAATTGAAGAATTTGAAATGAATAAGCCAATATATTAGGAGGATTTCATTTTGGCGAAAATTAACTCATTTGCCACGGGAAAGAAAATTAAAAGGAGGAAATTAAGTTTAGTTGCAAAGATGAAAATTGTATATCGTTAAAGAAATATATACGAGGAAACGAAATTTAAACAGAGCAATATACAGAAAGAAATTTATGGGCTACTATTTGTTAATTAACTACAGAATTTCAAAAAATATTCTCTTGCTCTTTCAAACTTTGACTTTAACATATTTTTAAATAGAGAATAGCAGAGAAATCATTTCATTCCCCACACAAAACTATATTTCAAATTCTGCATGCAAATGCTAATTGAGAAAGCTCAGAATAACCATATAACAAGCCTCCCTTTGTTATTTCGAAGCCTTGAAGTTCGTAATTATGATTTAAAAGCGAGTCCAGAGTCCAAATGGACAGCCTGCTGCAAGGAATACAGTTTTCTGTGCACTCAGCCGCTCATTTATGCATTCATTCAAAGATTTCTGCACCGGAATAAAAGAACTCTGCCTCCTGCAGCCCCCGGGTAGAGAGGAGACTATCTGAATATGTGAGCATAAAATGCAAACGAAATGTGCAATATTTTCAACTCATGCACCTTTGGCAACGATGCCAGATTTTGAATGCACATTCGCCCCTACTCCCCAAATATATGTATGTATATGCTTTCCTGGAAGGGGAAGGTAACAAGCAAATAAGAAGTACAAAATGTGTGCAGATAAAATTCAAATTTCAATTTCAACATCGACAGGGAGCCCCATTCGCCTGCAGGACTCAAAGGGAGTGCGGGAAATGGCCGTGTTTATTGTGACTTGAAGCCAAAACAAATGTTCGTACCTTGTTGCACAAATGTTTACAGTTCGCTGCCAGCAGCAAATAATAACAAAAGCAAAAAATGAAAAATATAACAAGAAAACTATGAAGAAGCAGCAGAAGTATCATGACAGGCAAAGTTTACAATAAAGAAAAATGGCCAGCGACAAGAGTCGAGCTAAAAGTGCAAGAAACTGTACAGAAATTTCTTGATGGAGGATATTGAGTAGGTGGAAGCTATATTGGTTTTTCTAAAAATTAAATAGAGGAACCTGAAAGGAAAGTTTAATACAAATTTATATTTATTCAATTAACTAAAGTAGAATTCATTAAAAGAATAATATTCAGTAATCTTGGACCTATTTATTTACAATTTATTTCTTCTTACTTGTACCTTCTTCAATATTTTTAAAGAATTTAGATCTTTAAGCCAATCAAATAGCTTTAAAAGCACCTGGAAATCTTACGGAATCCCACAAAAGTTCAAATCATTTGTATTGCCGACGCAGAAAACGCTACATTTATCAATTTCGAATATTTACCAGGCCGAAACTATATCAATATTTTAGCAGCACTTAAAATTTGATTAATGGTTCATTTTTGCATTCTTTTTCATTTCAAATATTCCAACAATCGACATGAAGAATTGTCAGAATTCGTTTTTATTTGGCTTCGCTTTTTTTTTTTTTTTTTTTTTTCAACTCCCCATTGGAAACCGAGGAAAAACCCGGGCAACCAAAACCCGACGTCCATTAAACAAAAAACAAAAAAGGCTGAACCAAAAGAGACACAGTGCGAGGGAAAATTGTGCGTTCAATTCGAAAAAAATTCATTCATAAAACATGCCTCGTAGATTGCGGCAGTGAGTGAAGCATTTTTCGTACCCACAGAAATGACCAGTGGCCGCCACCCTTTTCCCCCGCTTGCCCTTTCCCATCCACACGGTGAAATAAAATGAAAATCGATTTTCACTTTAACGACTTCACACATACGAGAGCCCCGAGGAAAGAAAAATATCCAGAGGCCCCACCGAAACCACATAAACGGAGCCAAAACAATGAACAAGAAAAACCAGAAATCAACGTGAAATGCATTGAGGAAAGGTAACCCCAGACGATATGGGAAAACACGGGGGCACCCAAGGGGTGCTATTCCATCGAATTTGGGTTAAGAACTGTGCGTGAGGTTGGTAGTTGGCTTTTCCTGCTCAGTATTCTCTCTCTATGTGCCTTCTGTGTGCTTGACCACTTCCTGTATTTGTGCATGAATTGGAGCGTAATGTGACATTTCATGTGGAGCACAGAGAACGAAGAAGCACAACCAGAAGGCAGTAGAAAGTCGACCATTTTAGTGATTCCTTTTCAATTCTTGACTTTGGTGCAACATGTCGTATGCGTAATAAAGTGAATTATGCCACTATGGATGCGGAAAAGCTTAATCTTAATGGTGTATTGGCTTTTTCCAATGATACTTTTTGTTGAAAAAAGAAAAGAAACAGTTTTATTATTTTCCTGAAGATAAATAATCATTTTAATAGATTTTTCTAACAAATAAAAAGCAAATCATTGTAAACGTTTTTCTCTGAAACAAAGACTGCTCCAAAAACCATCTTAAACTGCATTTAAATCTTTTATTTAATGACAAAATAAATACAAAATAAACTCTCTAAAAAGCTTCATTTGCATCTTCATTAAACATAGAACCATTAAATAAAATTCTTGGATGGAACGATTCAATTTTAAAGCGTCCATAAATAAAATTGAAATATTTGTATTATTTTTAAGTCCTTGAAGCCCCCGAGCCATGGAGATCATAAAGCAAAATGCGACTGCCGCGGCTATGGCCATAAACAAATTGAAATGTGCAGCGATGTCCAACGCCTTGATGGCACTTTATGGTCAGAATGGGGAAATTGAAGCTGTTGCTTTGCCGGCAATGAAATACGAGAAAGTGCGGCGGCCTGGCTGCGAGATCCATTACTCAATCGAAGCGCGAGTTGGGCGAACGATAAATGAAAATGCTTTTTTATGTGTGGGCTGAGGAGAAAACAAATAATTTCCCAAAAAACGATATTAAAGTGTTTGATAATTGCAAATGGGATTTGCAAAATAACAGCGGTATTTATCAGTATAAAATATTTAACGGAATAATATAAAGAAAAGTGAATATTGAACATTGTGAACATATAAAATATAATTTTAAAAATATTTTAATATAATAAATAATGAATTATTAAATTAAAAATTAACAATAGCTTAATTTTAAGATTATTTTTAATCAAACCTTCTCTTTACAAAAATAGAAAAATGCAATACAAAACTAGTTTCCGCATTGTCATTGTATTTTTAAACAGAATTTCATTCGCTTTAATGTTTTTAAAAACTGTTTAATGCTCAATCTTCAATTGAAAATGTGATTCAAAAATTTCCAATTTAACTTGAAGTTGTTTAATTTAAATGTGCATGCAATTGCCGATAGAAAAACATGTTTTATTTGTCCAACTCAAAGCAACAGAACATTCCGGCCTAGCAAAGTGTGTGGCATTAATTAATTAATTTAAATTGGGTTGCAAATGATAATACAAATGCAAATGCAATCATAGAGACGTCAACCTGAAAATACAACTTAAATGCCATAGAAATCCGGATTCGGACAGACATCGTATAGTTTGATCGAAAAGCACAAGCTAGTATATTTGCTGGGTAGACGGACATTTCTTAAGCTGAAATGAAATCCACAAAGGCACACATAAAGCAGCAGATATGGATACAAATACAGACTCACATAACAGTCATAAGGCAAACAAATGACATCGACTGACGTCCTGTTGTGCAAGGATTCCGGGTTGCCTTCTTCGCTTTCGTTGCCCCTTTTCGTGTTGATTTAGTGCTTATGCAAATTTAATATATGTTCTGAGCTGACTTCTCCCCCCTATGCCCCAGACTGTTCCAGATCTTCCCCATCATTTGCATAGACTTACATTATTGTTGCATTATAAACCAGACAGAGGGACCAGACACGCACATTTATCTTTTATGACCGCTCTGCAGTCTTATTTTTTTCCCCTTTGCTTCCCTCAGCGTGTGTCTGTATATATTTTGTATAATTTATAAGTCTCAGTGATAAAGTGTTGGGCCCAAAAAAAGAAATATAAAAAGACAGAACGCCCCCTCAATTGTCGTCCACTTGAATGCAATTTTGTGCATTAAATTAAGAAGATTTTTCTTGCACGGTCCCATTGTTCTTTGGCGCATTAATTTGACGAAAGTGCAAAGGAATTTGCACGCCGACTTTTTAGTTACTTTTGTTTCGACACTTTGAAGTGCTTTTCTTCCTCTACATTTTTTGCTTAAAGAGACACAACTTTGCCAGACAAGATAGGAAGACGCGGAAACTTCTACGGAGCGCAGGCGGAAAAAAAACTTTAAGCATATTTCTCGCCAACTTGTTGCCAAAAAAAATCGAATTCTTCCAAAAAGGTGGCAGCGAAACGAAAACAAAGGCCCAAACTCGAAAGGCGTTTCTATGCCGGGCAAATAAATTCTCAAACTTGAGCCATACAAAATATTTCGCTGGCAATAAATTTGCAAGAGAGTGCAGAGCGCACGCCGCACGCCCCTGCCCAAAAATATCACTCATACGCAGCGTTGCACTTGCACTGGCTCAGCCGGAAACGGAGAATGCCATTCACAATGGGGGCTCGGGACAGGGACGGGCGGTGAGCTCTCCTGTTTTATTCCCCCAAGGAGAAGATTGTCTGACAGTTGCCTTTTGGCAAAACACTGAGAACGAGTCAACGTCGTTGCAAGAAGTTGTTGAGCAGAAAATTGAAAAGTATTTCCAAGCATTTGTTGCCATTGTTGGCTGTCAAACTGGATACTCAACAGGGGCTTGTGAATTTCCCTACAAAAGAATTGGGCATTTCGGCAGTGTTTATTAAATTAAATTAAAAACAATATTATTACAAGAATTTAGAGAGATTTAATTGACAATTAAAATAAAATAAGGAAAAGGTTTTGGGTTTTTTTTTAAATTATTATTTAATAATTACTTAATTTTAAGAAAATACATAATTTTATTTTATTATCATATATATTCTTTACACTAAATAAAAATGTATAAATGATGTATTTCAACACAAAAAGAGAGTGTTTAATATTAGTTATTGCATACTTTAGATTTTCCTCACTAGTTTTCGTCATTGTCTTCTTAATACTTTAGGGTGCAGACTTTGCAAGACAGCAACAAATTTTTGGGCATGTATGCTTTATATCCTGACTGTGAGTGGGAAGGATATATCTGTATGTGCGGGTGTAAATATCCTTTGGAATTGTTTATATTGCTTGCAACCAAATCAGCACTTGTAGGGTTGGTTTTGATTGCCATTGATGCGCTTGTATCGAAACTGTTTTCCTTTTAACTTACTTTTTGAATTTTCGTTCCTTGTTTTTTTTTTTTTTGATATGTATGAAGAAGAGAAACAGATTGAAAGGGTTTAGATGAATGGAGGAAAGACAAAATTTACATTGGCAGAAATAATGAAAGGTCCTTAGATTGCGTTTCAATTTCCCTTAATGAAAATTTGGTCAAAGATTTTATATAAAAGCTATTCAGCAGCAATTCATTGAAGGGCAATTAAAAAAAGGATTTGGAATTCATATTCAGTTATTAATTAAAACTTTATGTGTTTGTTACACATCAATTTTCTTCAGTTCCTAATTAAAAAAAAATCGTCAAATAAACAGTTGAATTTAAATTAAAATTCATAAACTAAAACCACAAAGCCAAATGACAATTATTCTTTACCAAAGCAAGTCAAAGGCTAATTGCTGCTGTTGATAAAAATAATTAAACCTCAAATCAATATCGCCCATAAATAAATTAATTTCACTGGCACAAAGGAGTCTGCAGAAGAACTTTTGACCTACTAGCCAGTCATATATATATCGTTTGCATATTTCTACAATTAAAATGCAAACTAACAGGGGGCCGTCCCCAGACAGCTGAGGCTATTTGTATTCACATCCTTTCAATTCGCTTCTTTTCAGGATCCAGCTGCGAACAGAACGTCGACGAGTGCATGTCGAATCCCTGCCAGAACGGCGGACTTTGTCGGGACAGGACTAATGGCTACACCTGCACCTGCCAGCCGGGCTACCTGGGGGATCACTGTGAGCAGGATGTGGCCGTCTGCGACACAGGTGAGTCGGCTGATGATGGATGATGGACAAGCAGACACTGGCGGTTGTGAAAGGGTGGAAGCTTGTCAAAGGTTGAAGTCTGTGTGGCACATATGCCCAGGGTTTAAATAGAAAATAGCACAAGATGCCAACAGCACCTGCAAGGGGCTAGCTTTGGCTTAAAGTGAAAAGAATAACAGACAATAATTTAAATATTATTATTGTTATAAAAAAGAAACTCCTTCTAAAATAAAAATTCTCTTAAATTCGTTTTAAATAGGAACTGGAGCACGTTGCCAGCATGGCGGTGAGTGCATTGAAGGTCCTGGGCTGGAGTTCACCTGCGATTGCCCGGCGGGCTGGCATGGAAGGATCTGCCAGGAGGAGATCAACGAGTGCGCCTCGTCGCCATGTCAGAACGGCGGCGTTTGTGTTGACAAGTTGGCGGCCTATGCCTGTGCCTGTCCCATGGGCTACACGGGCATCAATTGCGAGGAGGAGATCCTCATCTGTGCCGACAATCCGTGCCAGAACAACGCCCTCTGCCTCATGGAGGAGGGAGTGCCCACGTGCTATTGTGTTCCGGATTACCACGGCGAAAAGTGCGAGTACCAGTACGACGAGTGCCAGTTGGGTCCGCGCTGCATGAACGGTGGCGTTTGCATCGACGGAGTGGACACCTTCTCGTGTTCCTGTCCTCCGCTGCTGACAGGAATGCTCTGCGAGTGTTTGATGGTGAGCGAAGAGTCCTTGGACTGTAATTACACGGCTCCGGCTACTCCGCCGCCAACGAGGAGAACCACCACTACATCCACGGTGGCACCGCCCACAGTTAGGCCTGTGACGCCGCCAGAGACCACTGTTCCCCCGAGAGTTTCTGAAGAAGTTGAGCTGCCAGTTGTTACTACGGCAGCACCAGTTGCAGCACCAGAGGTAGTGACCTCGGCGGGATCCTCTTCCTCAGAGGAGACGGTTTCTGTGGAAATCAAAGCTCCGACCTTGGCACCGCCAGAGAGCGATAGCCACAGCATATCCGTGGAGCACACTACAGTTGCACAACCCGCACCTGAACCCGAACCCGAACCCGAACCCGAACCGAGACCCCAACCTGCTCCGGAATCGGAGTCCGAGACCGAGGAGGAGATAATACCTGGAACCACAGCAGCTACACTGGCGGTTAGCAAATCCTCCAGCTCTTCCGAGGAATCACCGAGCATATATACAACGCTGCCGCCTTTGCCAGGTCAACCGAAAACCACATCCTCGGCGGAGAGTTCCGGTGAAGTGGTGACCTCCGAGGAGTACACCACCGTGCCACACTTCGACGTCAGTGGCAGTAAGAGTGAGAGCGGCAGCGTAGAGATCACCACAGTAAGACCAACAGCTCCACCCAGCATTACCATAGCAGTGGACTACGCCACTTCCTCCAGCAGCAGCAGCTCGGAATCAGTGGAATCAGTGGTCACCACGCCGACACCCACTTTTGTGCAGAGGGTCACCACCATTGCCGCCACCATCTCCGTGGACTATGCCACGCCCACGCCCTATTATCCCCCGGAAACCACTACGCCACGAGTGATTCCAGTGCCGAGACCCACATTTTCTCCCGAACCACCTTTGGATGTGGTGGAGACCACGGCTTCGACGCAGCATCTCTGGACAGAGGTGCCAACGACGGCGGCTCCCTTCTTTACGGAGTATCCAGCGGAAGTCCTGATCACCACGCATCGAACCAGTGCAGGCAGATTCACCACGGTGCAGCCACCTGTGCAGGTTTCTACCTTGTCTCCAGCAGAGGAGTCTTCCATAGAACTGACCACGCCGTATACACCCCACATAGTGGTGACCATATTGGATGCAAATGCCACGATACCATCGCTGATTACGACCACGGGAATGCCAACGACGCATCATCATCACCATTACCATCACCATGATCACGAGGGCACAACGCTGAATCCACTCGAGGAAGATGAGCACCATCACCACCACCATCACCATCATCACGAGCATGAGGTGGTCCCCACCACTCCCATGCCAGTGGAAATAACCACGGGTCTGCCTCTGCAAACAGAGGACTTGATTGGAGTCCAGCAGCCTGCTCCAGTGACCACAGCAGAACCATATGCTCCTCCAGAGACTACAGTGGTTCCACTGACACCACTGACCACACCTGCTCCACCAGCAACAGTTGCTCCGGCGGCCCCACCAGCAACACTTGCTCCTCCCGAGACGCCAGCAACTCCGGCAACTCTTCCTCCAGCCACTGAACCTCCCACAGCGGCGCCAACACCTCCTCCAACTGTGCTGCCTACTTTGCCACCCGTAACCCTGCCCCCGGCTACTCAGCCACCACCCACGATACCACCCACGATACCACCCACGATACCACCCACTCCGCCCTCCACACAATCCGCACAAACTCTGCCGCCGCCTACAATGCCCATAAATGTTTACACCACTCCCGAAGGACCTGCGCCGACTACGACCTCTGCCGCCCAAACGAAGCCTCCGGTCACGGAGAGCAGCGAGGAGGTGGAGGGCTCCAACACGGTGGCCACCGGCGGCGGCCGGGGAGCCGGTGGAGTTCCCGAGGAGAAGTCCGGCGATGTCGATTGCATCAAGCTGGGCTGCTACAATGGCGGAACCTGCGTTACCACTTCCGAGGGATCACGGGTGAGTAATCAATTAAAGAACACTTTAAATTGTTGGGGAAGATTTAGAATTAAGCAACGGTTTTTTAAAATGTTGAACATAAGTATTCTTTGAAATATTTATAGTCTCAATTTAAACATCATTTTATCAAAATTCTTGAAATAAACACAGAAATTTCCATTGGAGTTATGTATTTCGATTATTTTTGCCAAGTGCAACTCAGACTCAGTAGGTCAATCGATAGGCGGTGGCCCTAGCACTTGGCACCTTAACGGAATCGAGTTGTTTGTTCGATGCCAAAACAACCAAAACTAGGAATCCAACGGAGAGAAGCACTTTGTGTGTGTTTGTGTGAGCAGTCAACTTCACAATTTTCAACCCCATTGAATTGCTAATTGGCCATATTGGAGCTGTGCGCCTACGGGTTCCGATTGCACTTCCACCTCTAACCATTAATAAGTCATTAAATATGCCAGCTGCGATAGGAGAAATTGCCTAGGCAATAGAGCAGGGAAGGAGGCATCGACTGATATTAGTACTCTATAGTATTGCAAAAGTATTTATTATAAAACCAAACAAAAGTAAAGAAAAATATCAAAATCAATTAGAAAATTCAATTAACTAAATTTTCAAATAAAATAATAAACCTATAAAAAGCATAGCATATAAACCTTTCGCTATCCTTTAGTATTTAACCAACACTGTATGAGATTTAGTTGTTAGGTTGGAATCCAGTTCAATTATAGTTTTCGCACGTATGCAAATCAGGCCTTAAGCAAGGCCCTTAATGGTATACTCACCAAATGAAAGCTTTGACACTACTTACGCCCTCGTGCTCTACACTGCCGTCCAACTGAATTTCCAAATTGACACGAGGCAGGACACCACAGCTGCACAGGTGCACGAGTCCGATACTGGTGCACAGATGTACCTGGCACTTACATAAATAATCAAATATATCGGAGTGGGTAAGAGAAGAGAGAGAGAGGCAGGACCTGTAAGCAGATTTACTAAGCAGATTGTTGCCCAGGCAATTCCATCTAGGGAAGTTAAAATTATTCCAGGACATTAAAGAGCATTAACTAGTGAAATTTTGCTCCTACTTAGAACCTTAAATCATTAGGCATTACGAAAAAGCCTTAGACAAGCAAAGATATCTAGTCGTAATTAGAAATATGTTCCTATGGTTCATGTTTTCAATGAAATACAGAGTCTCTCTTTGGTTGATTCTTAGAAAATGCCAATGGCTCTTGTAAATGAATGAATAGTTGCGAACTTTGAAAATAACAAAAGCATTAAAAGCAGCACACGTTCAGGTAAAATTTGAGTCAGAAGACAGAAAATGGCTAAAGGCAGGGGAAAATGTTCGGCAACCAAAACCACAAAACCTTTCCCCAGTTGCTCCAGTTACACTAACAATGGCAGGCCTGCCAAAGTATGCCTATTCAAGTATTTATGAAAATACTTGTGGTAATTTTAACACAAAAAAAAAAAGAGATAGCAAAAAGCTGAAAATATGGTCGAGCCAGGGGAGAGAGAATATCGATTTTTTTGGGCCTGAATAGCAAACTGAAGTCCATTAAGTGTAACCAGCACATATCTAAACATTTCCTGGCGATGCACACAACGAATTTCCAATCACTACCAATAATTGGCGAACCGGAAAATTGTTCACGAATATTTCCATGATAGCAAGATTATTTTTTAATTTCCTGGACATTGAAAATGTTGGGGGCAACCAATGTTTTCTGGCTATTGTGTTGGCCATGATTTTGGCATGTGAAGCTAACCAATGAATCAGTTAATTGGGCCAACTTTGAAGGACTATTAAAACGTGTTAGTAACCCAAATCAAAAAGCAAGCATCCAGATTTACAGAGAGAATAAATTTCAATAGAACCTGGCATGGGTTTTAAAGGGTTTTTGGTAAATAACCCATTTTGCGGTTTTTAGAAATTTCCCATACATCAGAGACAAAAAATAATAATAAAACATACATAAATTCAAAAAAAAAAAAAAAATGATCAACCCTACACATGCTTAACCAATTTTCACCAATAACTATGTAATTGTCACCCTCAGGCCTTGCCACATTTATTATTCATTCCCGCTTGAAGGTCACAATATCTCGATGACCACAACCAAGCCACAATCCCTATCTATACGTATATATTCATGGCCAGTCATATGTCAGCAAGGGGCCACCGTTAGCCAAATTAGCAGCACCACATGCAATTCCCGTTTTTTATGACCGAAACGTGACGCCGATACGAGCTGACAACGTTTTTAGCCAATTTATAACCGCCCATCCAAAGGATCAGGAATAAATATATGAAAATTGTGGACATGCTAACCACTGCAGGGACAAGTTGAAACCACCGCCAGGAGTTTGATGTTTATTATTTGAAATTATAGGGAAAACAATTCTGGTTAATTGTAAAAACAATCAGGGATATAGAAATGTGTGTAATTATAAAGAATACAATTCAACTGAAAATATATAAAGAAAGCTTTATTAACATAATTGTGGATTATTACAAAATAATAATCAAATTTTACATAATTTTAATGGCAATTAGTAGAAGAAAAGGGCTTTATTAAATGAATCTTTTCACCAAAAATGGAAATATTATTTCAAGCTAACATCAGTTAGTTCTCTCTCGTTATACATATGTGTCTTTCTTGGTTCGAACTTTATATAATACCATTCAGGTATTTCTATTACCTTTAGGACAGTTCACAAACTTTTAGCCAACACTCAAGGCACTCCAGACACACTCGAACATCACCGAGCACACTAATGCATCTAATTTATGCGTCAGACCCAGTTAATGAGTTAACAAAGCCGGTCTGGCAATTTATTTATAAAGTTTTGCTGCAGCCCACGTAGATCTCCAAAGTGTACCTATGAATCACAGGCACTCACACCCCCACACACACACCCTCACAAAAACGTGGAAAATAAGGAAAATGAAGAAACAGCCGCAGAGAAACTGTGGGTGGGAAAACCAGCGCATGTGGCCAACATGCTAACAAGAAAAAAATTAAATTTTCATAATAAATTTAGCGCTTCAGTGAGTGACACAACACCGCAGGATGAATTTGTTATTGTGTTACACACACACACGGGGACAGGATTCCACCACGCAACTGAGAAAACTAAAGCAAATAATGAAAAAAAGTGAAATGAAAAGCGCAAAACGAGAGGATATTATTTCATAGAGCGAATGCCACTTTATTGTTGCCAAGTAATTTAACTAACTGCACAAACACTCCAAAGAAGCTTGCACACACTCGGGTCTTTTGTTAATTTTCAGATTTGCTCTTTTTCGTGCACTGGGGAAAAAAGGATGGGATTCTGGAATTCCTCATTTAGAATTTATATTAAGAGAAGCTATACAAATCTCTTAAAATAATGTGCCTTTAAAAAGGTGTCCAAAACTATGCTACACAATTTTACATTGTAAAAAGAAACAAGTTTACAGTAAATTAGGTACCTACTACATTTATTGCATAATAATTTAACCAGTCCTCCTCGCTTTTATAAATAACTTAACTGTGGAATCATAAAAAAGTTTAATTTGTATGAATTTATTACATTTTTTGCATAATATAAGTGTTCTTTATATTCCTAACCTTCCCATTTCCCTCAGTGTTGGCTGGCTTTCCATCTCCTTCCATTTCTCACTTTTGCATTTGTATAAAGAGACAAAAAACAGACTGGCAGCGCGACAGACATACTTTTACATATGTCAGCTGTCATATTGGTTAGGAAAGAGTGCGAAATGCGGGGGCAAAGTGGGTGGGAAATTGTGGAAAGCTGGGGTGGCTTGCGTGGCGAGAAGTGCAGGCAAAGTGGCACTCGCACTCGGCGAAAGTCACTCGTAAAGTGGCATTAAGCACATTTCTAGTGCTACCCCCGCCGAGTTTTTGGTTTTCGAAAATGTTTGCCTGGCTTCTGGCTTCAAAAACCCACCGCCCCGCTCCCATTTCCCAGAAGCTCTATGTGTGTGTGTGTGTGTGTGTGTCTACTGTCTGCATTGCGTTGCTTTTGCCACCGCCAATGCCACTAATGAAAACTTTGTTGAGCCCTTTTAGGCTCCTCCATCACCGCCACATGTCTCCCTGACTTAATGCGTCCTCCGCAACAGCAGCAGCAGCAGCAGCAGTCTCTGTTTCCATACTCATTTCTCTGCAATTCTCACAGGCCTTTCCGCATCCTCCATGAGGCAGGGGGGGGAATGCACTTCTGTCATTCAGGGTATTCCAGACATTTGCCTGTTGACATTAGCAAGGGCGTGTTACAATTAATTTTCATCTGGCCAACGCAATGAAAGGCAAAAAGAGGTGAAAATGTCAGGGATTAGCTGAGATCCTAGAGAGCAATCAAGGTTGACAGCTGCAAGGGTTACACAGGGGTAATGTAGAGATTCATTTTACATTAAAGAACATTTAAAATACTTGCAGAATATATTCACACTTTGCTCTCATCGGATCAGACTCATTTCCGCTTTTGTGCTCGCCCACATATTTAAATCTTAAATCTGCCACATGTTTTCCCTTGACTCATTTCTGCTACATTTATGTATGTTTTTTTTTCCTTTTCGGTTTTGGCCAGCTTTCATTATGCGCCAGCCAAAATGCCGCAAGGTCAAAAGCTTTAATTAAAATGTTTCCTGTGTTCGCAGGGCACATGCGAGTAGAGCCAAACAAAAGGGCAGAGCAAACAGAGCGCACAAGTGCCGGTACGGGCTAAAATTGTGCGAAAACTAAATTCAGCCCACCCGCCAGTAAGGCCACCCACTCATCAGTTTTCCAGCGCTTTTCCCCAGCATCATTTGTCTAACAAGTGAGCGGTACTAAAGCAAAGTTGGCCAAACAAAAACAAAGTGCGCGAATCAGCTTCCAGTGCACACTTCAAATAATTGTTATGGCGCTAGGAAAGTTCTTTATGCCTATTTTTGTTTTTTTTTTTTCAAGGTCAGCGGAAGAATGGAAAAATTCAGTTTTCTCGGAAAGTGATTGCTTTTTTCTCTGCGATCTGTAAAAGGGAACAGCACTCGACATGTGGAAACGGATACTGGATGCTGATATGAAACATCTCATCAACACAGCAGGCGCTGATTTTAATGTTTTTTCTTTTGCCGGCAAACAAAGTGTGGGAAACCAGAACAGCGGAAATTTGTTGCCAGCTGGTGAGGCAAAGGGGGAAAAAAAAAGATAAAGAATGGCGGGCGTAAATTGGTCTGAGCCATTATAAGCTTAAGCCTTTAACACTGGTCGGGAAAATCCGCCGAACAGCGGGGCCTCTTCAGAGGGGTTTTCATTTACAGAATGTGTCGGCGGCTATAAAAGCTTGAATAATGTCTTTACAGATTGAGAGATTTATGCTACAATTAACCCGGTGTCTTATAAAATATTCAAAGAATCAAGCAGGGAATTTACTTGCTATGTATACTTTATTAGCTTGGAATTTAATTGTGAAGATACAAATTGTATAACTTTGATTTTAAGGAAGCTTAAAGCTAGATAGGAACACATGTATTTGAAACATTAACTACGTATTTCAAGACCTTGTAAATGACTTAAACTTTACAATTTCTTAAACTTTAATTGAACGAAGCCACTGACAAATAAACTGTAAGAACAAGCTTAACAATTTTTTGTAAGAACCCTCCTTTGAGCAACTCCCCAAAATATGGACAACTTCCCATTAAAAGGCTGTCATTTTACCAGTTCCCCCCTCGAAGACCCAGAGGCATCGGCCCCACGTGACTGTTCCGTAGCTTCACCTTATTTCCCCCCGATTTTCTTGCACTTCATTTGCTCAATTTGTGGGAGGTGCAGCGAAAAATTACAACAAAAGTTTGTACACAGTGTGTCCTTGTTGCTTTTCCCTTCCCCTTTTTTCCCAACGCCTGTTGCAGTTTTCCCCTTGCACTTTAAGTGTCCCTTGGTGCGGCATAAATTATTAAAACCAGGACAATGGAAGACGAAGGGCGAAGCGAAGCGACGCGTCGCCGTAGAGAGCCAAAAAGTTAATTCATATTACTTTGCAATTTATTGGCATTTTTTTAGTGGAACGTGCTTTTCTCATTGAAAGGCGACCAGAAGTCGTCTTTCAAAAGGACCGAGGGGGACGTTGAGCAAAAATTAAATTAAAATTGTTCGAGTTTTGTTCCGCTTTTCGGTGCGACGACTTCTCGATAAGTTTTAGGGGAAAGTTCAAGCTGTAACTATTGTATAGCCAGTGGAAAATGTGTGTATTGAAAGTGTAAGAGAAATGGCCAGGGCAAGTATTGAGTATTTGTAGTTTAGTTAATTTTTTTACACTATTTTAAACACGATTTAAGGAAAAATAAAATATAGTTATAGGTACTTTACTTGCTTATAATATTTTAAAATATTTTTTATACCATTTTAAATCTTCTAAAATTTTGTTATTACAGTGCGTTTGCCGCTTCGACCGGCAGGGTCCGCTCTGCGAGCTGCCCATTGTCATCCGGAACGCCGCCTTCTCCGGCGACTCGTACGTGTCGCACCGCATCTACAAGGACATCGGGCAGCACGAGTCCCTAGATGCCGTCCTGCCAATGCACATCCAACTGAAGGTGCGGACGCGGGCCACCAACGGTCTGATCATGCTGGCAGCCGCCCAGGGAACAAAGGGCGGCCATTACATGGCCCTGTTCCTCCAAAAAGGACTGATGCAGTTCCAGTTCTCCTGCGGACTGCAGACGATGCTGCTGAGCGAGCTGGAAACGCCGGTCAACACGGGCCACGAAATTACCATTCGCGCTGAGTAAGTGAAAAGTGTCGGAGTCGACCGCGGAATGCAATTACGTGTGAACATGCACTGCGAAAAAATTACAGCCAAATTGGTCCATGGATCACGAACATCTCATTGGCTTATTCTGAGTTTCAAAGCGATTATTCGATTTTTTTTTCTGCCAGTGCATAAGCATGTAACCGCGGGTCACGCCGCCAGCTTGCTGGTGATTGAGGTGGGCGGCAACGACGACTAGCGGCATGTTAATTAACTTTTTAAACTGAGCACGCGGCGCGCAAGGTGGAGGTCAGCATATGGGTCAGTGTCAGGGAGATTGCGCCAGGACATTGCCCATTAAACTTGGCCAGCGTCGAAGCCCATTTCGCCTTCGCCTCTCCGTCCGCAGAGGCCACAAATTATAATGCTTCAAGTGTAGAATAAATTGCAGTTTTTTAGGTTCTTCCAGCTCCAGCTCCGACTTTCCACTTCCCATTTCCGTGCGGCCATTTCCTCGAACATTAAATCCTGCAGGGCTTCCACTTGCCATCCATGCGTAATTAGTTGGAGATTTTTCTTTCTTTTTTTTTTTTCCTTTTTTGCGTGGGCTCTTGGTTGAAAATTTAATTTTCTGTGTGGCGTGGGTTTAGCAGGGCGCGGGCAGGGGGATTAAGTAATGCGGGACTCGTGCGTAATTAATCGTTTAACTAACATTTCCTGGCCAAAGCCAACTCTGTGCAAATGTACCGGGAAAACCAAGAAAAAATCCAACTAAAAAGTTATTCAAATATTTTTACTATCGCAGCGCATTACATTTGAAATGGGAAAATAAAGTTTGAATGGGTTTTGTGCTTACATTAAGGAAGCAAAAATGAAACAATTAGTATGAGGAAAAAAATACATTTTTAAGCCTATTTAATTCTCATAAATTGAAGCTATTAACATACATATATTAAGAGAAAAAGCCTGATAAGATGTATTGGCAGAAGATAGAAAATCTAAAGTGTAATATAGATACTTTTACTTTCTCATATTCTTAACTTGAACTCTATGACAACATGAACAACTATGACTCTACTTTAATCATATTTTAAAAATCTTTGAAAATATATAAAATATTTTTAAAACTTCAATAAGCTGATAGGTCGTCTCTCTCTCTCTCTGTCAGCCTAAACCAATTTAAATTTTTCAACCTGTTGAATCAATAGACTTTTCAATTATCCTCAAATATTCAAATGACCATCACTTAAAGTCATCATCAAATTGTCAGCAAATCAAAGCACACCACAATCACAAAAACACTCAATTGTCAGAATCGCTTGTTTACAGTTCAGCTGTGAACAATTACTTGAAATTGCCATCAAATTGATGGGTTAAGCGCATATGGAAAATGACCAAATAATCGTTTTAGTCAAATATATAAAACTGGGCTAAGGCCGAACGTAAAATCTGGGCAAAGAAATGCCCCCGGGGAATCAAGGATATAGACGAACCCATGGCATAAACAGAACATTAAGGAATGGATATTTATCAAAAAGTGGGACAAAGTGTGAGCGAGAACGTTGCCCATATAAATAATTTACCAAAGGGAGAACAATGACCAGGAGTGGGAACGAGAACCGACGACGGAGGTGGAGGAGGAAGGGACTCTCACATTTTACGACTATCGAATCGACCACAAATTTACTTTTTAGCACTTGGTCCCAGCTCGGGGCGATCCAATGTCCGATGTTAAGGGCTCTAGCCTTCCATATATACATACACACAGAGAAAAATATATTAATTATTATTCTATACAACTTATTATTATGTTATTAATAATTTAGAAAATAAATTAATCTTTATAAAACTACAAAATTTGATAACGGACCTTATTTAAGCCGCAATAAGATTTTTTTTTTTAATATTTGTTCTCTGTGTATATATATATTATATTACTTTTCTGCCTTGGCTTTGTTGGGTGTTGTTTTTGTGTTTTGGTCTGGCAAGTGGATTTACGAGCAACAAATTTATGTTCGTTGCCTATTTTTATTTGCCTTGCGTGCTTAATCGCCCGAGCACTGGGGGCAAAAGGACTTTTTCGCCCAGGGGCCACTCGATGGTCATCATCATCATGACGTTGACTATAATGATTCGGACAACGAAAACGATGATGATGATGGCGAGACCCTCGATGAACTATAGTGGCCACATACCGCCCCCTTTTTGTGGGTAAATCCTGCCTGGGACAAAAAAAAAGAAGAGGAAAAGGAGACCCACTCTCTAATGAGACTAATGCCCAGCACAATTGACATTTTACTTAAGGACCTTCATCGAACTGGTGTTGCGCCCAATTAGTGTAATTAGAAAGCAATAACAATTACCGTTAGTCGAGCCTAATTACGACCGCATTTCTTTCCGCCTTTCGACATGAAAATTTCCTTTTAATTATTGCGAATTTGCGTAATACAATTCTCGGATTAAGTTCATTAATTAGGATGAGTTGCTTTGCTTGGCAGCTTTCGCAACTGAAGAAAATTCAATAGCATTCAATTGACCGTGTCAATAAATTATATTCAAGGATTTTGAACTTCCCCTCAAGCCCCAAGGAAATAATGTAAACAATGCTAATTTAATTTGCCGTTCAGTCAAGTGCAGCTAATTGAACTTTAAATACAATTGAAAGCAAGTTCGGTTTTTTGGTCGGTAATGGAACTATAATTTGGGGGAAGTGCTAATGGTGCTCTGGATAAGAGGAGGAGAGTACAATGTAATGGCTTTCAATGGTAATATAGCTTTATTTTTAAGAATTTATTCAAAGAGAACTTGTAGCTTAATACAACTTTAATCGATGCCAGGACAGGATATTATTACTTTATTTTAAAGAACGACAACAATGAAAACACAGGAAAATCGACAAAAAGCACATATGTATGTTGTAAAAACTAAATGCAATCAGAGAAAACTTTTTTCATCTGTCCAGCATCATATGGTGGAATTTTTTTTACAGCTTTTTTGCCCTCCATAAAATAACAATAAAATGTGGGTCCTTCTTCATGGCGGCATTTATTGCACTGACTCTTTGTATTAAAATATATACATTCAAATGCAATAAACGGGAAGATATGAATCCCAGTTTGTCCATCTCCAAACGGACTTAAACCCGAAAAGCAAACAAAAAGCGAGAAATTTTCATCTGACAACAAATAAAATCAGAAATACTTTGGCACAACACAACAAAAAGCATTCAAATAAAGGCAGGTGACATTCGACCGAAGCAGGACAATAAAAATTGGTGGCCCCCCTGTGCTGTGAGCACTCTGTCTCTTGCCAACACGAACCCGTCCGTGCTTTTACCTCGATCACATCAAAGGGTAGGCAAAAAATTCCATACCATTCCGGTATGGCCGGGCTCAGCAAAAATTTGACAGCCGATTGACATTTTAGCCAATTGTTGGGTGGAGTGGAAAAGGGACAGTTGTCTTTATAAAGTAAGGGAAAATATGTTATTTATAGTTTAAAAATAGTTAGAAGCACCTTTATTTATTATTAAAAATATATAGTTTTGGTTATAACTTAACCGAAAAGTTTTCAGAAATCCCTTTAGGAAATAATTTAAATATAGAATATATTATAAAATCAATATCTACTTTCAAAGAAAAAGAAAGTATTTTCATTTTATAAAATAAAACTTATTTTAAAAATTTAAATCATTCAATTAAAACAAGATTAGCTCAAAACTTACTACCTTTTCTTATGAAATATGTACGTATATTTTTGATATATTCATTCATATATCAAGTTGCCTTAACTCCCTTTTCCAATCAGTATTAAGCCACTGTCAACACACGGGGGGTTGCCTACGTTGAAAGGTCAACAGGCAAAAGGCAGGTCAGGATAACGTAGTGCTGCCAGCAGGACCCTTTTTCGGGTGGATGAGGGACCTTGCAAAGCAGAACGGTGGATTGTGGCGTCATAAATATTTGCACGCATCGGCATGTTGGGAATTTCACCTTAAAAGTTGCCCCAAAAAAACTCGAAAGGCTCGGGAATGCAGGGAGTGTCGCCGGGCGCCAAAGAGAAAGTGCGGCATATTGAATATTTGATGCATTAAGCAAAAAAAAAAAACAACAAAAATGTAAACCAAATGGTAAAGGGTAAAGGAAAAGAGCTAAAAGAATACCTCGAATGCCTCTTTGCAGATTGGACTTCAGCCGGAATTACACACACTGCAACGCCTCGCTGCTGGTGAACGACACGCTGGCCATGTCCGGGGATCAGCCCACCTGGCTAAAGCTTCTGCCTTCGCGGCTCCACACCCCGGAGGCGATACTGAACACCTGGCTCCATCTGGGCGGTGCGCCCCAGGCGCCGATTGGCCTGATTATCGAGCTGCCGCCGGCCCAGAGCGGCACGGGCTTCACTGGCTGCCTCCATACGCTGCGGATCAATGGACAGGCTCGCGAGATATTTGGGTGAGTACGGTGGACACTAGTTTATGCCTACACTGAGGGAAAATACTATATATAGAACGAAATATAACGTAATTTTAAGATAGGAAAAACTTTTCCTTTTCAATAGTAACAAAAACTATATAGTTCTTTAACAAATCTAAGAATAAGCTATAATAATTTATTTTTCTTTGACTTCATTTGTTTCATAATATTTTTTATCAGTGCTATCATGCCCCTTTGCCCCCCCCTCTCTGTCTTTTGTGCGCCCTTTGGGCACTTTGAATGCCGTGGACCTCGGCTAATGAACAGCTCCCAGAAAGTTACGACTGCGTTTGGTCCGATGCTGCGTGAAGCAGCTTCACCCGGGGGCTACTCTTAAATGTTAATGCCGCCTTACACTTTTTCTGCCCAAAGGCAGGGGAGAGGCGGTACAAATAAGGAGGAATAAAGCGTAACCATCAAAATGCCGCCGCACAAAGTTGCAGGTGGCGAAAGCCCTGGCGGAGTTGCAGTAAATTCCAGATTATACGGCCGCCGAGCATAAAGAACTTTTTTTTTCGAGCAGGAACAAATTAACTCTGCTTACGTGCGGAGATAAAACCGCAAGGTGGCCCGGGTCACAGATATATAGCCAATAGCCAAAAGCCCATATAATAAATGAACCCCACATGGGAAAAAGGTGTTCAGTAAAAATAAGCGGAAGTGCAGTAATCAAATGGGAAGTAAACAAGAGCAGAGCCCATCATTAGCTGAGTTTTGTTTCATAAAAAACTCTTTTATAAAACAAATATATTCCGAATAAATTTCTACATTTGCTCTTCAATTATCCTATATACTAATTAATCTAGAGAAAAAGCTATTAAGCTTTGTTAGCCGCCTGCCATGCTCGCACCATCTTCGAATAACTTTATCAGAGAACTTCTTAACCATAAAAGAAATGGCCATGCTAAAAGCTTATTTATTATGGCCTCTTACCAAGTTTGCACTAAAAACGACCACATCGCCAGTGAAAATGCAGCAAACTCGATGAAAAGAACATCTCAAAGGATGGGAAAGACGGGTGCTGAAAGGATGGGGACAGCCAGTCAGCGAATGCGGAAGCCATTCGTCAGCGAGCAGCGTTCATAAAAGCGCGAGCACAAACAGATGGCCCAAATGGGCCAGGGGGGCGGAGGCTACAAAAAAAAAGACAGCGACAGGACACGGGGCGGTAACACGTCCTCGACGAAAGCGCTGACAGCTGAGGGCTGTTTGTCAAATGGCGCACCAGAATGGCGGCGAAATGGACACATAGTATTGACATGTCGAATTAGAGCAGCTCATGAAATTAGCTGCAACACCTTACTCATCGCGGCCTCAATCCGTTTTGCACAGGAAACAAAACATTGAAATTATTTTAAAATTATTAAATATACTTTAAGAACTGTTTTATTGAAAAAGAAGTGGAAAATAAAGCCATGGGTGTTCTTAAAATCTTACTTTTGATCAATAAACCAAATATCTAACAATATTCTTAGTAATTAAAATTTAACTATAATAAAAAGAAATCACTTTCCTAATGTCCAACTCCTTAATTTTCATATTTTTCTGTGTAGCGATGCCCTGGATGGCTTTGGCATCACGGAATGCGGCTCTCTAGCCTGTCTGTCCAGTCCCTGTCGCAATGGCGCTGCCTGCATCAAGATCGAATCAAATGAGCTGGACGAGAATGGTGAGAAGGCCGAGAAGTGGAAGTGCAAGTGCCCCACCGGCTATATGGGACCCACCTGCGAGATATCCGTGTGCGAGGATAATCCCTGCCAGTACGGTGGAACCTGCGTGCAGTTCCCAGGAAGCGGCTACCTATGTCTGTGTCCGCTGGGCAAACACGGTCACTACTGCGAGCACAGTAAGTAGTAGGGAAAATGTTAGAAATCTATATTTTTATCAACTAAAATTCATTTGTTCTTTTTAAAATAGATCTCGAGGTGGCCCTGCCCTCCTTCTCAGGCAGCGTAAATGGCCTCTCCTCGTTCGTGGCCTATACCGTGCCCATTCCGCTGGAGTACTCCATAGAACTGAGCTTTAAGATCCTGCCGCAGACTATGTCACAGATCTCCCTGCTGGCCTTCCTGGGACAGTCGGGTTACCACGATGAGAAGAGCGATCACCTCGCGGTGAGCTTCATCCAGGGCTACATCATGCTCACCTGGAATCTGGGAGCAGGACCACGTCGTATTTTCACCCAAAAACCCATTGACTTCCGGCTGGACGCTCCCCGGGTTCCCTACGAGATTAAAGTGGGTAGGATTGGTCGCCAGGCCTGGCTATCGGTGGATGGAAAGTTCAATATAACTGGCCGATCGCCGGGAAGTGTTAGCCGCATGGATGTGCTGCCGATTTTGTATCTGGGCGGTCACGAGATAGCCAACTTTAACACGCTACCCCACGATCTGCCGCTGCACTCGGGATTCCAGGGATGCATCTACGATGTCCAGCTGAAAGCAGGCCAGGTTACCGTACCCCTGCAGGAGACGCGGGGGGTCAGGGGACGCGGTGTGGGTCAATGTGGCACCAGGGAATGCCATCGGCATGCCTGCCAGCATGACGGCGCCTGTCTACAGCACGGAGCAACCTTTACGTGAGTTATTCTCTCTTCTACGGAAAAATTAATCTAACAAACGTTTACTGTAGATGCATCTGCCAGGAGGGCTGGTACGGGCCGCTGTGTGCCCAGCCCACGAATCCCTGCGACTCCTTCAACAACAAGTGCTACGAGGACTCCACCTGCGTGCCTCTGGTCAATGGCTATGAATGCGATTGTCCTGTGGGACGAACAGGCAAAAACTGCGAAGAGGGTGGGTTTCTTATCACAACAAAAATTTAGAAATTACATAAATTTAAACTTTTCTATCTTTATCCCAGAAATACGTTCCCTTAGCGATGTATCCCTCACCGGAAGACGTTCGTATCTGGCGGTTCGTTGGCCCTATCTCTACGATGGCGGCGATAAAATGGGTGCAAAACGTTCCCAGATGGTCAGCTATAGGAACTTTACCAAGAAGCTAATGCCCCCGAAACCGATAACCACACCCAGCAGCCACTTTGTGATGAAGCTGCTCAATGAGGTGGAAAAACAACGCAGCTTCTCGCCCGTTCCCCTGATGGGTTCGAAGACCTTCGAAGAGCACCATCGTGTGCAGTTCTTCTTCATCGAGTTCCAACTGCGTCCGCTATCGGAACGGGGATTGCTCTTGTACTTTGGCACCCTGAACAATAACCAGGACAAGAAGATCGGCTTTGTATCGCTCTCGCTGCAGGGCGGCGTGGTGGAGTTCCGGATTTCGGGACCCAGCAACCATGTCACCGTGGTGCGCAGTGTGCGAATGTTGGCCATCGGCGAGTGGCACAAGATTAAGATGGCGCAGCGTGGTCGCTGGCTGACTCTGTGGGTGGAGGGAAGCGCCTCGTCGGCTTTGGCTCCCTCGGCAGAGGTCCTGGTTGAACCGGACTCGCTGCTTTACATTGGCGGACTGAAGGATGTGTCCAAGCTGCCGCACAATGCCATCTCCGGATTCCCCATACCGTTCAGGGGCTGTGTCCGGGGCTTGGTGGTGAGTGGAACTCGCATTGTGCTCAACGAGACCAACATTGTGGGTGAGTATTTCTTTCCGAGAGGGGGATATAATCAAAATCTATACATTATATATCTTAATATCTTCCCTAGAATCGCGTAACATTCGAGACTGTGATGGCACTGCCTGTGGCGGGGACTCTTGCGAGTCCGGCGGACACTGTTGGCTGGACGAGAAGCTGCAGCCGCACTGCATCTGCCCGGAATATGCCAAGGGCGATCGCTGTGAATATTCGGAAACCTGCAAGCTGATACCCTGCAAAAACAATGGAAGATGTCTGCGCAGCGGACGCTGCTCGTGTCCCAATGGCTGGGGTGGCTTCTACTGCGAGATTGGTGAGTAATCCGCAAAAAAATAATTACAAAAAGTACTTAAACAGGTCAATGAACGCCAGCTGCAGGTAATGATGATTCAGTGAGTTCCCAGAGAATATAAAAAGTGATTTAGTTACAGTCCAATAACCGCGATAAATCATATTAAAGCTTAGACAAAAACAAGTTTCATAAATCCTCGAGCTGTTCAAGTTCAAATCTCTGAAATGTGTCACGAGTAAAAGTTGGTTTTTGCCAAAACAGAAGCCAAAATGATTTTATTATATTTTTTGATGATCTCTTTTCGAGCTGCTTTTTTGCAAAGTTTATTTTCTTTTTTGAAAAACGAGTTTCGCCGCCGCCGCCGCCGAGTAGAACAACATTATTATTATAATTAGAGATGGACGGACAGCAACATAAAATAAGCATTAACGCAGCAGTTGGACTCCAGGCGGACGGTTCAGTGCACAGCGGGGTCAGGAAGTTGGTTGGCAAAAAAAAACAAGTAAAACACAGAAATTAGCGGTCTGTGATACAAAAACAAAAGCCATAATATGGCCACAAAAAATCACTATAAATCAGTATTATAATGGATATGGCAAATAATTAAAATCTGCCATGATTCAAAGTTGAATGCTCTCTTTTTTTTAGTAAATTTGCATAGCTATGGCCATTATATAATATTAGGCATTACATAAATTTAAACGTATTTGGTTAGACAGAACTTCTGATATCCACTTATGGATTTATTTAATATAGTTGCAGTTATAATTATATTGAAAGCTGCATAAATTATTGTCATTATATTAATCTGTGTCTTTCCCTTTCAAAATTTTAAATAACTGCAATTCTATACAAGTTCTCTAAACGTTTTCTACTCACTTTCAATTAGCCATTCTATAATTATTTAACTCTATGAAGCACCTCCTCCCCTTATAAGTGCAATATTATTCAAATCAATAATGACACTAACCGAAACATCAATCAAGCAACTGCAAAACAAGCTTTTTCCTATGATTTGAAATCGGCAGATGCTTTTTTATTGACTTTTTTTATTTCTTTATCCATCGAATGTTTGCCGTGGAGTTTCAGCTTTCGGCCTTTCACTTATTAGCAAATTTGTGAATTAACATGCCACTTGTAAAACTCACACACACTCTCCTTTGACAAAAGCTAAGATTTTAAATTGAATTTGAGGAAAATGCCAGCAGGTGGAAGAGAGAAAATAAATGGAAAAACCTAGAAGCTATAATCAAGGGAAAATGAAACATTTCCGAAGTATGGATATGATGGATGAAAGTTGAGATGAAAGTGCGTTTTTCAGAGAGCTAGAGAGGAAGTGTAAAGAATATTAATAACCACATCATAATAAAGATTAATCTTGGCTTCGGGTTCAGGTTCTCGAGATGAATCACAACCATTAAGGAAAAAAAACCGGAAAGCAAGTGAAGATGAAATTGAAGTTGAAAAAAAAAAAATCCAACTGATAGATGAAGGGAAAAGTGAAAGAAAATATTCTACACAGTGGGAATAACTTGATTTATATTTATAGATTTTGTATTTAATTTAAATATTTAAGATAGGAAGGAATTAAAGGAGCACTATTTACGTAATATATTAAGAATGGACTGAAATTTCTGTATTTAATATCAAACATTCTAACTGTTTCCGATATATCTTTTTTAGACTAGACAACTAGCTGTACATTTTTTTAGGTGTAGAATGTTAGGCCTACAAATAAACGAGATCAGGGCCCAAAGATGAGGAGGACTCATAAAGCGAAACAAAAGACGAAGACGAACAATGCAGCAGAGTGGCAAGCTGATGCTGTAATTTAATTATGTATCGCATGCAATATGTTTAATGCAACACGCCTGCTGCGGTGTGTGCCGCCCCGCTCGGCGCTCTCTATTATGTATTTATTTTTTTCTGATCTCTTTTCTGTTGTCTGATATTTTTTCTTAATTTTTTTTTCCAGCCATGAGCAAGCCAACGACGCCGAGCTTCCGTGGCAACAGTTACCTGATCTTGCCGCCGCCTCGGATTCCGATGAAAGACAAGCGGCGCGGCCCCTCGCTCTATGTCCGCCCCCGCGAAGCCATCCAAGTCACGCTGAACTTCTCCACCATCGAGCCGGACGGCCTGCTCCTGTGGAGCGAGCACGAGCGCAGCAAGTTCCTTGGCCTGGGACTGGAGGCGGGTCACCTGAAGTTGGCCAGTAATTTGCTGGGAAGCTCTAATGACACCGTAAAGGCACCGGCCAGCGGTTTCATCGCCGACGGCGCCTGGCACTGGACCAGTGTCCTGCTGGATCGCTCACGGCTAGAGCTCCAGCTGGACGGGGAGGTGATCTTCACGGAGCGATTGCCCGAAAACGGCCGAAACCCAAGCCCATCATCAACCACGACCAGAACCACATCGGCGGGCAGGCGCAAGAGTTCGAGCAAAGAGCCAACAATTAGCTACGAGGATGTCTTCTACTTGGGTGAGTTTTCTGAACTATTCAATATTTAAATTGTAGATACAATATAACAAAAAATATTATATATTTTCCAATACATATTATTATTTTGGAGTTTGATTTATAATTTAAAATTTGATCACGCCTTTTCCAAATTCTTTTACAAAGTATAAATTATCATTAAATTCATAATTGCATAAACTCAAATAGGTTTAATTTGTTGTTAAACAAACGTAAACAAATGTCATGAAAACTAATGAGAACCAGAACTTGCTGAAAATGTAGAAGAATTAAGTGAAAACAAAGACTTACCGCTGTTGAAATCCGTTGTATTTGGTAATCCCTTTGACTAACACAGTAACTAACACAATTTCACACCTAGCTCGCACACAAAAACATTAATAAATCCATAAAATTCACTCAAAACCCGACAGTAATTCGCTTTTAACTTGTTGCTTGTTGCGAGATGAAAAACATTTAAAGTGGGAGAGGGAAAGCAAGACAATAGAGTGAAGCCGAGCTGCCAACTCGAGCGCTTAAAACAGCTGTTCTTCCAAGCCAGATCAGCTGTAACAGCAGCTTTCAAGCGCAACATTCGACTGTTATCTAACAGAGGCTTAGAAAATCCCATAACATTAAGAACATCTAAAAAAATTGTTGTTTTATTTTTTAAGGCTAGTATTTTAGAAATATTTTTATTTTATTTTGAAATATTATTAGATTGTTTTACTCATAGAATATATTTTAATGTTTTTATTCTATAACATTTTGTTTACATGTTAATGATAACTGCAACTAACAGCTCTGTTAGTTCCACCCTTACTCGTTATTCAACACTAGCCGAAATTCAAATCGTAATTCAAACTGATAAGAGCATATATTTTTTGTTATTTGCAAAAACAGGAGGATTCCCCAACTTGGACTCGGTAAGCAGGCGGACGCAGGGTCGCTTTTTCGAGCCCTTTAAGGGATGCCTGCAGGACATTCAGTTCGGCGCCGAGCCGAAAGCGATTATCAGCGATTTCTCGGCGTACCAGGGGGAAAATATCGGATCCTGTGATCTGCACGGTGACGAGCCGCTAATTGTATAGGAAACGAGGGAAGTGAAATCAAAACACGGATAAACGAAGGATTATTGTGAACTTTCAAGGATCTTGGCCGGATTTCTTGACCGTCAAACTGACGAAGGAGATATATAGAGAAGATAACTACTTGTAAGCTACTAAGTGATAAGCGAGTTTATATAGCGGAAAGCTGATGGGGGGACCTCCTTCCCCAAAATCAATATATACACAGACAGAAAGTTTTTGGGCAAAGCTATCGACAAACGACAAGAAATGGAAACGTAATTTTGTAAATTTTATAGAAATAAAAAAACACAAAAAGACAATGTTTAGACTTAAAAATTACAAAATAAAAACATGGAAGAAAGATTTACTGGTTTATCAAAAAACAAATAAAGACAAAATTGTAGCTTAGGATCTTAAACTAGAAAATACCAATACCAGATACAGATACCAGATATAAAAACTTCTCTTACGTAAGTGATATTTCAAATGTGGAATAACGGTAAAGGATAAACCCCCAAGAAACCAAGAAATTAACTTATTTAAATGTATATTGTTTTTGTTATGCAAACGTTAGCATTTCTGTTGAATAATCCTTTAATTTCCATATCTACAAGAACTGCCCTCAACGAGTTTCTGCCATTTTTTAATTTGTTCAATTTTGAAACGTGAATTTAGTTAAGTGAATATTGTTTCCTGTTATGTCTGTGTGTACGTTATATATAGCATAAAGCTCTCTCTCTCTCCTAATTGAAGCCATTTAGTTGCCTTGTAGTAAGTTAGCATATAACTCTCCTATGATTTATCTTGAATAACTATAATGTAACTCAAAATCGAAGTCGCCTATTCTTCTGAAAACAAATCAAGGGGCATACGAAAAATCTATGCTAGTCATTACAATATAATTATTCTTGTAAACCAAGGAAAACCCAGTAGCGGGGAAGAAACAAACAAAAAAATATATATACAAAATACTTATACAATACGAGAAACAAAACAAAACAAAAAATTGGAAATTGTAACCCAAAACAGTAAGTTAAGGATGTGTTTATTTCGAGAGACAACACTTAATCAGTTATAATTTTAAATAAAAAACAAATGGAAAATAGAAAAGTTAATAAACTTAAAGGATTGCTAGTGTTTTATTTGGAATACTTTAAGCTACAGATTTTGTTTGAGATTTTATAGAATAACTACGAAAATTTAACAATTTTTTTAAATCTGTTGATGCACCAAATTTCAGCTTTTAAAACGACTTAGTGGACTTTCTTTTACCCTTTTCATAAGACAAAGTTGCGCTGGCGTCGTTCGAATGTCTTTGTAAAATCCGATGTTTCCCTATAATACATATTGTATAATTTAGCGAATTCCTTGGCCTCATCTGCAGTTACAGCTCGATATCCAGTTTCAGAAGCTTTATTACCCGTGAATAAAATAAAAATTTTCGGATACTGAAAAATCATGTTTAAAGATTAAAATGCAATAGCCATAAACTGAAGTTTTTACCAAAGTTTTAATTTTAACGACCCATTCCTTGATATGCTCATATCCCACTCGATCCTTAGTTTCAAATACCAGCATGGCCATACGACAGTCGGAAAAATAAACACGATCAACATCCTTGAAACTAAATCAAATAAATAATACAACAAATACTATTATTATGTTATAATTGGGATTTAAACAATATACGATTTCTTCAAGTTAGTTTGAAATCAATAGGGAATCAAGTGTACTCACCGCATCTGACCACACCACAATAAATCTAGAGATAAACGTGTTTGCTTTTTAGGTTTTTCGTCTTTACAAATATCATCCCACACATAATTCACTGACACAGGAACAAGGGAATTTCCCAGGAGCATTACTCTAAACCCCATTTCCGATCGTTTTACTGATGAGGAGCTCTCACTGAAGACTGAAATATGCCAACCCATCGGGCACTTTACTATAATTTTTCACAAATTCTCAGAAATTGAAATGCAATCCAATACTGTGCAGTCTCATCAACCAAACGTTCTGATTGAAAATTCATATTTATTTGTTTATTTATTTTTACAAATGACTAACAGGGGTACATTTTATAGACCATTGATTATAAATTATAAACATTTGTCAAGCCATTAAAATATTAAATAGATAAATAAAGGACCGAAAGGACAATTTAAATGGTATAGTAAAAACCTAAATGTATTTATTTCCATTAAATTCCTAGCATGGCCTTAATTTTCATCGATACTAGCTTGTACTAAAATAAATATATTTGTTATTTGTGGCAAAACAATTAATATATTTACTAGTACTTACTAAGCGCATTAAAACAAGCTTCAACATTACATTTTGTCACTGCAGAAGCTTCCTTAAATATTAACTCGTGTCGCTTGGCATATTCCTTGGCCTCAGTGGTGGATACCTCACGACCTTCAGCTATATCCGATTTATTGCCCACTAAAACTATTATAAACTTCTCCGATCTCTTCTGCAGTTGAAAAGTATTTAGCGCAATAAAATACAACATTTTTATAGTTACAGTACCAAAGCTTTGAGTTCCGCAACCCAATCTCTTGCATCTCTATAGCTATCCCGATCGTGGATGTCATAAACCACCAAAGCACCTCTACTCTCTGGTAAAATGTTGCGTACTACATGTTGAAATCTAATCAAGGAATATAGAATAGTTAAATACATGATTTATTTTTTAGTTTTATAAACTCACCGCCTGCGACCTGGCGTATCCCATATTTTTAGTTTGTCTTTCGGGGACAAAATTTGTTTATTTTTTAACCAAAATGTAATCTCCGTCGTTGGGTCTTCATATTTAGGTAGATTATTCCATTTGTATTGCGAAATTAACGATGTTTTGCCAACCGATGCACTTCCTAAGACTACTATCGGAAACTCCATTATCTTTCAGTTCGCTTTGGGCAAGATTCAGCTGAAAACTAAACTTAATCATACGTAAATTCTTGAAGAACTACACATCGCCTACTGTAATATAAAATGTAAAACGTTTGAAGAAGTGTACCAATCATCAGATTACAGATAAACATCTTGTGAATAAAAATATTTTACAAATGCAATGAGTATTATGAAATAATTTTTATTTATAAATCTATTATTATATGTTACAAATACCAATTTGATTGTTTTTTATGCAATAATGCCTCAAAGCAACTGCAGATTCTGGCATTTCTTATACCAATTGCTAAAAAGAACGAACAACTTCATTAAATTGGAAAAACGCATAAGCTAAGGCAAAAAATATAACTAACCAACGTCCATAAAACACCTGTTGACGTTTAAATTTGTAACTGAAGAGGTTTCCCAGAAGATCAAACCGTTTCTTTTGGCAAATCTTTCAGCCTCTTCTGTAGCTACAACTCGATCCTCGAGAACATCAGCCTGGTGGCCTACCAAGGCAATAACTATTCTCGGTATAACTTTCTGAAATGATTACAATTTATTGAAATTACCATGGAAACATAGGTAAGTGATATATTATTCACCCTAGCTGTAAGTTCCAAGGTCCATTCCTGCACGGCGTCATAGCTATCTCGATTGTGAATGTCGTATACCAAAAGGGCACCTGGAAAGTTTGTGTAATTTTTTCGTAATATATCCCTGAAACTAACAAAAAAAAAATACCTTATTAAAAGCAAAAGTCTATAAACAAATCGATATTTTACAATATATAAGCATGGTATACAGTTAATCGATATTCTCTTATCTGATATTTGGAAAAAATTATGTACAAAATGTCAACGATTAACTTATCTTTTAACTTTAACCTTATTGTGGCCAATATATAGAATATTTCTCTGGCTATACATCCTAAGCTTTGATCCCTTTTAAGGTCTATTGTATTGTTTTTCAGGACTTACCGCTTCTGACCCGCCGTATCCCAGATCTTTAGTTTTGCATTTATTTCGGGCTCAGCTATAGTCTTCACCAGGAACTCCACGCCCACAGTGGGTTGGCTTTCCTCTGGGATTTTTCCGTTTACATAACATGAAAGCAGAGAAGATTTTCCGACACTTGAGTTCCCCAAGATTATCACCTCATACCCGGGCGCCACCATGATCGACCGATCGATCCGAGCTTTCTTGGGAGACTAGTCAACAAAAATAAAGAGCTGCTCATCGAGCCCCAATACATACGATCGGGGAAGAGATTGCGGTTGTGACGATTACTTTGTCATAAACATTGATCCATTTAGTCATAACATGTGCGGCTTTTCTCAGAGTTTCTAACCAAAAAAAAAAGGTTTGCTCAATGACTTGGCAAGGAATGTTATTTTCAGGTCAGAAAACTTTGTACGATAAGGAATGCTACGAAAAAAAAACCCACAATTTAATAACAAAGAACTGTTCAATCTCGATTCAAATCGAATGACTTTATATATATATATATATACGGTTTCATATACATATATGCATATATATAAGTATATACGATGTTTTCGTTTATTATAATTTATAACCGTTAAATTTAAATTACATACAGACAACACAAAATGTATAAATTGGAAATAAATAAGAAGCATCCGGATTTGATCGGTTTCCTTAGAGTTGATCAATATAATTGCTTTCAAAAATCATCGGTGTTTTGTGGAACAATATTTAAACAAGAAGCTTATGGTATTTTTGTGGTTGTTCGTTTCGTTTATTTACGTTTGTTTTCTCTTTTTGCATTTATGGTAAAGTATTTCAGGGTTTATTATGTTTAAGACTTCACTTTACTTCCTTCTTCTCATTACTTAATTGCATACAATTAATGTAAGTGTAATTTTTATGATTTTACGATAGTTTTGTTTTTGTTTTTTTTTTTTCTCATTTATTTTTAAATATAGTAGCAGTAAATCTTCGATTGTTGCTAGAATGTGGAAAAATATTTAAACGCAATAGACGAGAAATAATAATAGAAAAAAAAACTAAAAGTTATGCATAATTTGTTGTTTTTGTGGTTGTTTTTTTCTTTTCTTTTTCATTTTCATATGTGTATATATAATTTATATAAATTGCAACTATCACACGTGTCCACCGCGCTTTAGAGCCGGAGAGACACACACATTGCCACAGACCGAGGCGAGCGAGGATCTTTAGCTTCTTCCGCTGGGCCCGAACTTATCTGCTCTTTGTGGTGTTGGTTTTTTTTTCTTTTTCTTTTTTGTAATTTTATTTGGAACGCTGCTGAGAACAACTGCAACTGGAATCATCTTCCCTCTCTCTTAAATAATTCGCTCAGAAACTTACACGAAATGTAAACTTTACAAATATTCTTTGCTCACTTATCTTTTCTGTTGGTTTTTGTTTGGATTTTTACAATACAATTTGAAACTTTCTACGACACGACGAACTTTGCAAAAACCTCCTCCTTCTTCGCGCTTTCTCTTCAAGATTTATTATTACTGAATTGTTATTGAAAATGTTTTATGTTTGTATTATTATTATTATTGTTATTGTTACTGATAGTTTAGCTCAATTACCGGGGCTTGTCAGTTTGATGGACAGATATCGAGTCTAATTGGGGAAAGTCGAGGTGTGGAAATATGTAACTAACTTTCATCAATCTGGAGAGGATCCTTCATATTTAATTTATAATTATTATAATGCCTTTCTGTATAACATTTTTTTTTCTGTGGCTCTCAATCCAATCAATTAATTGTGAAAATTAAATTGCTTGCCCCTTGGGAGAGAGCCGGCTGTAGGTATTTCTTTTCTTTCTGTTAAATTTTTAAATAATTTTTTTATTTATAATTATCAGCATAAACTTTTCAAATCTCTCGTTGGAAATTTCATTTTCTGAAACAAAACAAGTTATGTTAGTTATAGAAGCTTTAGTATTACGATACAAACTTACCTACAAAGGGACATCACTTGCAGCAGTTGTTCGTCGGCCGATTTGTTTCATTTCCATTCGGCCTTATGCTGGTTCCTTGATTGTTGGCGCCATCGTTCTTAGGTAGTTTCTTGGCTGCAATTTCAGGATAAACATAAGTTTAATTCCCTCTTCAAAGAATCTGTTAGGCTTACCGATGGCCAAGAAGATGTCATTGACATTCATTCCCGTCTTCGCGGACGTTTCCATGAAGAGCAATCCGTTTTCCTCGGCATACTGCTTCGCTTCATCGAACTCTACCACTCGAATGTTTGACAGATCCGCTTTGTTACCGGCCAACGCAATGACAATGTTTGGTGAGGCCTGCAAAATGAGTTAAATTAATTATTACGATTTTAAAATATTTTCAAGACATAAGTTTAATAAATAAAACGGAAATAAATAAAGTCTAAACGGCTATCTCGCTCAAAATGTTTTATTGAATTTGTTTACTCTATGATTCTTTGTATGATTATCATAAAAATGATGTTTTATTTTAAAGAGCAATCTCCAGTTTAGTATGATTATTTAATGACTTCATTTTATCTTATATGGTACACTTATTAAAAGAAGTTCCTCCAGGGCCAAGTAAATAAATAAATAAATGCAATGGGGCGTGAATGAATGCCAAATGCCTCGGAATTTAGTTCATTGCACCCACTGCTGCGGGGGGGGAGTTCACTCCATTAGCAACAACAAAGAGAATTCACATTTATTCAATAATGAAAACGTTCTGCACGAGATTGCATTGACCTTGATTGTGGCAGGAAGTGAGCGAAAAAAAATATATATATATATATATTAATGAAACTCACTTGTTTATGCAGTTCCTTGACCCAAGTCTTTGCACGCTGAAAACTGTCCTGATTTTGTATGTCATAGACAACGATGGCAGCCTGCGCTCCCCGATAATACATGGGAGCTAAGCTGTGGTATCTGTAAATAGAAATAAAGGTGTGAAATAAATATTGATATGTAAATTAATCTTATTTTAGGTTGTGGATATTATTCCACTCAATAATTACCGCTCTTGGCCAGCCGTATCCCAGATCTCGAACTTCACCACGGTATCCTCTATGCAAATGGTCTGTGTCAGGAAGGCCGCACCTATCGTACTCTCCTGGTACTCATGGAACTGTCCCTTGACGAAGCGCAGCACCAGGGATGACTTGCCCACAGCGGATTCGCCCAGAAGCACCAGCTTAAATTGGCAACTTTTATTCTGCGATGTGCCATTGGGACGCGTCGCCGTTCCAGCGCCTCCGACACCGCCGCTGCGTGGTGTGGTTGCCATTATCGCTTACTTCGGTTTAGATGCGGAGATGCGCTTTTTCTCCAGAGATGGCAACTGGTGATTGAAGTTCTACGGACGGTTTACTGCAACTCACTTCCGCTGCTGAGTAAGCTGGTTTATGTGGTCAGTGTGAGGTGAGGAGTCTGAAAGATAAAGCAAGAAGATGGGTAAATAAATTTGTGGAACGTAACATAAAAAAATTATCAGGGACAGAACAGGGATATATTCCTGGATAACTAAACGTATTAGAGCTATATTCTTGACCCAGTCTGTTGGATAATTGATAAACATTACAGAAAAGCACACGAGGACAGAGTGGCGCCTTCGTTTGTTTAATGACGCCGTCGACAAGCCCAGTATATTTAATGCAATATGTCCGACAATATATGTACATAAAATGCCGCCATCATCCATCCATCCATCAGTATAGGAACAGAGAGAGGGAGAGGGAATTCCGGATAAAAGAGGTCACAAGCAAATGGTAATCGATAAATCCCATTGAAATTGAAAGAAATACGCCCAGTAAAAGCCTTTGAAAGCAAATTAAAAGCGAATATCACTACGGGAGCTGCAGAAATGACTTATATCACCAGAATCACGGGCGTTTAGTGCTGTTCAGCATCATAATCACGCGGATAACTAGCCTTCAGATAGCCAAGATAATAAGCCAGTCTTTTCAATGTTAAGATTTTAGTTGCTTGCGTGTCAGGTTCAAACATCCACAAACACAATAGTAGTTAATTGCTAATGCAAAAGCAAAACACAGCAACAACTAAAAATACTTTGGCAAACTCACACAAATCGGAAGAAACCTTAAGAATGTTGTTTAGGCGCAATTATTGTATATTCTCTACTAGTCGCCAATTTTCCCCCGACGACAAATAAAGGGTTCTGGAATTATACGAACAAAATTCCCGAGAAATCATCTGTCTTATCGCATTTCCCCTAAAAACTTTTGTCTCTCCTTAGGGGCTACTATATCAACTGATATTGTACACATTTTCTGATAAACTATTTCGAGGGCGGGTTATTCATAAATACAAAATGGTTTGTATATAAAGAATATTGAATATAAATATTTATGTACAAATGTATGCCGGACAGAGGACGCCTCGCATTATTCATGGGTTGTGGGAATACGGTGGCCTCGCAAATAGATTGCTGTTATCAGTGGAACTTCCATGAGTCATAATACTGTCCCACGGTAACTGAACTAAACTAAATGTCAAGCACCTTAAATGCTGATCTTTGAAAAAATATTTGTCTGTTTGGAAAGTTCAAAAGACCAGACCTCAAGTGCGTCAGTAGTCTAATCTTCCAATTCCAAAAACGATTAATTAACACATTGATGCCAAACTGTACAGTGCAGACAAGTCTCCAAAGATCAAGAGATTGAATTCTACAAAAATCATGCGAAGAAACATTAACTAGAAGTGTAGAGAATCAGAAACAGAGAGAGAGAGAGCAAAAGAGCCAAGATGGGGGCGGAAGCTGTGATAAAAATCAATGCAAAACAAATTAAAGCGTCTCATTCACGAACATGAAGAAGTAAAGAGAAAGTAAAAGCATGACAAATGGTGTAGTTGTGGTTGCTATGTCTGTACTGTGTTATTAAATTAACGAAGGAGCGGGTGCGGGAGGGAAACGTAAAATATGCAGTCTCTCTCTCCATATCTCGATGACATTAAAAATGCAGTCAGTCAACAATTGTTTGAAGCAATGTAAAAAAATCATATTTCTCTTCCTCTTTCCCAGCTCTCCGCGGCGCCTCTATTGTTTTTGTAGAGATTGGAGCAAAGTGCACAGTCAGTTGTCAAGTCACTCTCTCACACACACACACAAACACCATCACAAAGCTCAGGCGGCAAATTTGCTCTCTTTAAACAAAAATTCAACAATACTCTCCCAATTGCGATAAAGAAATTTTGCCTACAATTGCTTTTTGTGTTGTTTCGCCAAATGACGCTTGTATGTATTTCGCATTTTATTGCTGCCGCACACAAAAAGCCGACTTTTAAATTTAATTAAACCCGGCTACGACGTAAGTAATCCAAAGCCAGAAGTTTTCCCATGTCTTATATTACCAGCTGGCAAGCACAACAACACTCACCCGAAAAGATACTTTTTATCTCTCTGGCTAAGGCTGTTAATTTAGCATTTAACACTCTTTAACCTTCGTCGCCGTCTGCGGAAAATTCAATAAAATATAAAACAACGGACGGCTGCTTGGTTCAGAAAATTACGGTACTTGGTTCTTTTAGAACAGCTGACGATGCGTCATTCACACGTACCAATACCAGAGAAAGAATCAAGAGAGAAACACAACGATGGAACTAGCAACAAAGCACAAACAACAACGGCCAACAAAGTAGGATCAATGGATTCCAGGAAAATCACGATAAGTTCCAATAAGTAGTATTTACAGTACTGGGCAATCTGATAATGTTATTTACAGAAACAATATTTATATATAAAATGATTAAAAAAAAAAAAAAAACACAACAGTAGGACAGGAAATGTTAAAAAAAATATATATAAAAATTAAAACATTGAGATTTGAGAAAACCTCGTTTTAGTGATGAAGAGTTCGCACTAAATAAATGCGTTTTTAACAAATTTATTTGTTAGCTGCTGTTCTATTTACGTGCCCTGGATTGTGGAATTGCCTCACTCGTAAAGTCAACAAGTGCAATTTTCTCAGCACGCATTTCAAACACGTCGTCGTTGTACAATAAGAATACAATTAGCAACTTTTATTTACAATAATCACACTTATACCACATTCATGGAGTCTGATACGAATGACAGCCACAGTTTTCTCTTTGTCGGTTAACTCGTTTGCGAAGCGTAAAATAAAATGCTAAAATAAACAAATGTGCAAATGGAGGATGCGATTTTGTTTACATTGCGGCTTTGCAGAAAAATGTACAGTGGAAAAGCGGGGGGAGTTTTCGGTGACTGGCACGATAAGAAACGGGATTGAAGATAAATGCACAGACACACACTCAAACACTCCCGCACACACACACACATTTACTCATTAATTAAGACGCAAAACAATCTGAACAAAGAACGGCCAATTCCGCTCCATTCAACCGATTAAGACCCTAATAATAAAGCGCGAGATAATAAAAACCGAACCGTTTTTCTTTATAACACATCAGTGTACTGGGTGCACCTGCATTGCAATTTTTATCGCTCAAAACACTTATTCCGCCTTTTGCAAACCACTGTGCACGCTGCAGTTGGAGCAGGTCATACGGCCATCTCGCTCTGACAGCCGCTCACTTGGGCAACGCACCCAAAAATTCAGGGCCAGCTATCGCGCTCGCTCCCGCACTCGCACCATGGCGGACAGGGAGAAAAATTTTACACAACTTTCTTAATTAATGGTGGGGGGAAAACAACAGCGCAAAAACACTCGATACCCCACTGATTTACGCACGTTTAACGCCGCACTCGGATTGCCGCTCCACGGTTGTTAGCGTTCCCAGAATGTACTTTTATCTGCGTTTTTTCCAAACCCGACTTCCCCAAAACGGCCCCAAAAACGAAACGAAACGAGCGTAGAGGGAGACGGATAGCGACTGACGACTGACTCGCCTCTCGGAGTTTCTCACAAGTCTTGTTTTTGTCGATTTCCAGGGCGACGTCACCGCTGCGGGGCGTTGCTGCCGTTTTTTGTGAACTTTGTGATCCCTGGAGGCTAGGTGTTCATTGCATCCGTTGCTGTTTCGAGGAATTTGCGTGGTTTATTTGCAAAACTTACAACTTTCTAGCACTCTCTACCAGGTTTTCCGTTTGTACTGCAAAAATTTGTAAGAAAAGGTTTTTTTCACCCCTACGCAGCTGGTCACACTTGAGCTGGAAATGCTGGCCTCACATTTTTAAGGTCACACTTAAACGGAACGGCAAAATAAATATTATTTTAGAATCTAGTTTAAATTATGTCTAAGAAGTTCACTAAATGAGGGCCAAATAGAAATGTTAGTAGGAAACCAGGCTGTCCTTAGTTTTTTATTTATTTAAACGAGCCCAAATTGGCAATGTTTGGTATATGCAGTATTTTTTTTGTTTCCAAAATAATCGTATGTCCCGAATCTCGTGACGTCATTGTATTTATATATCCAGACCTTGAGAAAGCTGTCAAATATAGGCGAATCAAGTAGTGGTTAGCTAAAACATTCATATTTTTATTGGGAAATCCACGTGGGATTGTTTTTGGAAACCATTTCCCGGGGAAAACTGCAATCTTTTCCACTATTCCGTAGACGTGACACGCGTGAGCGCCCATCCTCCTGTCTCTTCAGCCAAAATCTGGTATATTCCTCAGTGGGCCGACAAGTAATTTGCAAAAATTCCCTACGGCCACACTGGTAGGTGGAATGGAAATTGTAATAACATTGCGAGAATCTGTGAAAAAGTGAGAAAACCCGTGAAAAGTGCGGAGTCTGTCGAAATAAAAGGATTTCGCTCAAATAAGTAGAGCTGAGCGACAAGTGCGATTGATTGCGGGTGAAATTCAGGAAATTGTTAAGCGAATAGTAGAACTACAACCGCGTCCTGCACACATACGCAGATTTGCCATCGTTTCATTCGCTGCTGCTGCGCCTCCTGCACACACGCACACAATTACGCCTTTCGTCATCTCTTTCGCTCTTAGTTTTTGCCCATTGCCGTTTTTTTTTTGTCGCAGCTGCAACGCAAATTCGAAAAAGGATTTACAAAAGCGATCTCGCGAGTCCTTTGGCTTGATTTACCTCGGATAAACAATCGAAAAAGGTGCGTGTCTCTTGCGAGCCAATCAATATTGATTTCAGTTTTCAGTTGTGTGTTCTACATATTTGATTGCGCTTTTGTGCCAAGTACTGGAGATCCTGCCTCGCAGGATACACTGCACACACAGGCACTCCCACGAATACTTGTACATACATACATACCTGATCTGGAATTTTTCACCTACCTGTTTGAGGGAATTTCCCCGGCATTACATTATGTAAATCTCAAGTTATATTTTTTTCTTGGCCTTTTCAGATGTGCCTACGACGCGTCGCGTACTAGGGAGGAATCCTGCTTTTAGGGCCCACTTGGGACGGGGTCTCGAGAGGCAGTAGCATGTTCACTCCCATCAAAAAGATATTCACGTATATACAAAAAAATGCCAGCGGCTCTAACATGTTTAGTCCATCAGCAGCAAGCACAGCGGCCACTGAAAAAGAGGCGACAACAGCCAACAGCCTGAAAGCCAACGATGAAGGCGAAACAAAATTAAGGAAAGATGATGCGGATCGTGAGGAGGTAGAGTCTGAGGAGGTGCGGCGGGGGCTCGGCGAGGGGGATATCCCGGCTCTACAGCGTGAGGACGACGGTGACGATGATGACGACTTCGACATTGAGCGGCAGATCAAGACCTCGATAATCGATGCCACCAAGGTGCATGCGGCCAAGGCCAAGGCGTTGGCCTTGCTACCTCTGCCGCTCGAGCAGTTGGACGATGAGCTAGCGGACTTTGCGCATGCTCCAACGGATCCCGATCTGGAGGAGCAGTTCCTGGAGCTAGAGAATTTCCCTAACAATGAGATCATCGTCCTGGGCGATGCCGATCTCAACTCTTCGATAGCCTCCGATGCCGTCTCCGAGGACCCCCTGGCCATTGACAACATACTGGACTCTTCGTCGGTCACCACCAACGAGGAGGTGGACACCAGTGGCGAGCTGCTCTGGCTGAAGCTAGATAATGAGACGGAAATAGCTTCCGCTCCGCGAGACGAAGTGGCGCCGACCAATCAAGAATCCCTGGCGCCGGCTAAGCAAGCAAAGTCTAAAGAGGATGAACTGAGAGACGGGGGCTCCGACTCTGGACTTGGCAGCGAAACGTCTGCTTTGCTAAAGGCTGATCAGACGCAGAAGGAAGCCGAGCAGGAGGCACCAAAGCCGCATAACGAACCGAAACCGATTAGGTCCAATCTTAAGAGACGATTGGATGACTCGGAAGGCGATGGAATTGATGGCATTCCCGACATCTCGACTCCTCCGATGGCCGCCCAAAAGCGGGTCAAGCGCTCCATTAACTTTGACCAGGTGAAGGTGTACTATTTCCCGCGACAGCAGGGATTTGGTTGCGTGCCCACCGCTGGCGGATGCACCCTGGGCATGGGGGCCAGGCATATAGCTTTCAAGACCATGACGTTGGCCGAGCATGCGGCGGAATTGCGGCGGGCACATCGCAGCCAGAACCAGGAACTGCAGCCGAGAGGATCCAGCAGCGATGACAGCGAGGAATCTGAGGAGGATTATCTGAGCGAGGGCAGTGGCTCGGATGCGGATGACGGCTCCAATGGCTTCCTGCAGCCGGTAACGCCAAAACAAAGGCGGGCGCTTTTAAAAGCGGCGGGTGTGCGGAAAATAGATGCCAGCGAGAAGAGCGAGTGCCGGGATATCAGGAACTCTAGAGAGGTCTGTGGCTGCTCCTGCCGTGAGTTTTGCGACCCGGAAACTTGTGCCTGCAGCCAGGCGGGCATTAAGTGTCAGGTGGACAGAGCCATGTTCCCCTGCGGCTGCACTCGCGAGGCCTGTGGCAACACCGTCGGACGGGTGGAATTCAATCCCACCAGGGTGCGAACTCACTACATCCACACCGTGATGCGGTTAGATCTGGAGCAGCGACAAGGCTCTGTTCAAGGCGTCCAAGGGGGGCATCTCCAGCAGCAGCAGCAACAATCCCAGCAGACCATTGGCTACTCGCCGGTGGGAACGGGAGGATCACCTTCATCGTACTTCCTGCAAACGCAATCCAACTACAGTTCCGGCTACGCTTCGCCAGCCTACACTCCCGAGAGCAGTGTGAGCTACTACCAACAACAGGTCCAGCAGCAGCAGCAGCAGGTCACAGCTCCTGGCCAGCAGGCGACACAGAGCCAGAGTTACGCAGGATATCCGCAATTGGACAGCCTAGATTCGGGACTCTTTGCTAGTGGTAGCAATGCCACGCCCTCGTACGGAGAACTATATCAATCGCTTAGCTATGGCAGCTCCCAGGTGAGTGGAAAAAGTCGTAATTCGTATTATTAACCTTACTGGGCCGTTATAGTACTTTAATTAGGCAAGAGTTAGTTCATGTAGATGTTGTAAAATGTTTTTAAACTTTTTTTTTGGGTAAAGTTATAGTAGTTATCGAGGAGCATCGGTATAATTAAACTCAGCTGCAATGGTTTGCCGCTTAACTAATACTAATCCTTATATCTTGTACAGCTTACTTCCTATCCGACCGCCTATCAACCGCATTCGCCATCAACGGTCGTCGCCTCTCCAGCCTCCGGAGCATCCAGCTCATGCGCCTACAGTTCTTGTGCAGTGCCCTCGGTTCCCCCGTATGGGAATGCCACGACAACAGCATCCAGCAATGCTCCATACCAGACCACCGTCGCCTCCATGACCGCAGCCTCTTCCACCTTGTCGTCGCGTCTCGTCGGAAACGCAGCAGCAACCGCATCCTCGCCAGCCACCGCTGTCCCCCCCTCCACGTGCACGTCCCCGGCCAATGCCAATGAATTTATTAGCTTGAGCACACCGATCGCCAGTTCCTCGCGCCTCTCCCAGATCAACGATCTGCTGCAGCACAACCGCAACACCACCGCCGCCCTGGTGGCAGTTTCCGAGGGTTATAGTGGCGGCGGACGAGCCGCCTCCTGTGCATCCACAATTGATTCTATAGACACACCGCCCATTATGGAGGATACACAGCGTGGATGTATGAATTTCGAGGCGTTGCCCCCGCCGCTGATTAATCCTGCGCCCATCGTCGCCGTCGTGGAAAGCAAACTGCCACCGATGACCACGTTGGCCCTGCCACAGCCTCCCGCTCCTGTTCCTGCTCCTCCCACAGCACCACAGCCCCGCCAGCCGCTGGACCAGCAACATCAATCTCTAAATGAGTCTACTTAGAGTGGGATCAAGGGGGTGTGGGTCGTTTGTCAATTCACAGAAGCTTTGTCTTGAAAACTATTGGTGAGATATCGAGTTGTTTTTTAGAACAAAATTTTAATTTTCATGTATTCTTTTATTTTTAAATTTTAATTGCCAACCAGAAAAATTGTTCAGTATATTTTGTATTTAAACATAAGATTCCATTATCCTTTATTGTAAATTAAGTAATGAAGTGCAGTGCTGTCTGATTTTATTAGTTATTAGACTGCTAGACAAAGTTACTTTGAATTGAGAGCAAGAACGGCCACACCCTTCAATTGAATTAAAAGGAACAATGAGAGAGCTGGGAATAGTTTTTATAGCAATTTTACACAGCGAAAAGACTTCATTAAGTTTAAGCCGGCATCAGTGGGGCGGGGCATGGAAAGAAAACGGAGGAAAAGAAACCACAAAGATGGAAAAATAGGGGCAGGAATCAAACTACACCGCAGCATGAGCGCCAGCGTCCCTTTTAGATTTTTAAAGGACCTCTTCGGTAGAGCGGCTCGAAACCGCCTTGTATAAATCATTTTTATTGTTAAATTCTAATTAGTCCTGTAAGAGTGTAATGTAATTTAGTTACTCTGTTGCTTAAGGTATGTTTTCTTCCTCGACATCAAGTTCACCTCTACTAATTACTTCTATTTTTGAGTAATCTATAAAACGAACAAATTGATTACGTGTTGAAAAAGTAGTAATCAAAAATATAATTAAATTGTTTATATGCGTGGCTCCAATGAATTTAATGAGCTGAGAGCCTCCGAGTTGTATCCAAACAAAAAAGAGAAAATCTGTGTGTCAAATCTGATTTATCCCCCGTTTAACTTTTGTGTTTTTGTATTGTTTGCATTTAGTTACCAGGCCAATCTTAACATTTAACTACTCCATTTTTAATTTCGTCTTTTGTTCTTAGTCTTTAGTTGCATTGTCTCGGTTTGGCTGCGAATTAATAAGTATTCATTTAGTTTCTAAGTTCCTCATTTCTGACCCTCAGTCTCTTAGCCTTAATGAACCAACAACAACAACAACAAAATGGCAGCAACCAGAAAAAAAAATCAGAACATGCATGCTTTAGACATGGTTTAGAAATATGTATATTCAAAACAGAAAAAATGAAAACGACAAAAGAAAATAATGGCAATTATTTAAATAAATATTGAATACAAAATAAGTATCTGTTTATAGGGTGGCGAGTTGAGTGCAATAAGTACGTTTTGGAGCACTTATTTCATTGCTGGGCATCGAACTTCAAAGTTGAGGAAGGGGAAGAACATCCAAAGTCATGAGTCTGACTGAAACTGAGAGAAGAGGCAACAAGTTTTGGTTTCGTAATCCTTATCCTAATCTTCTAAAAAACTCGAAAAAATCTCTCTTCTACAGTCTCTCAGGGAGCTTAAAAATCCTATAAGTGCATATCTCAGATGTACGGAACTTGGAATGAGAAATGTTCTAAAATAAAATAATCAAACTTTTATGGATTTTTATAATATTGTAAGACTTTCTTTTATTCAAGTTTAAAATAATATCAATTTGAAGTACTACTAACATTCCCTAAAAAAACCTTTTCTTAATCTAAACATTTTTAATTTTTGTTTTTGTAAAAAAAGAAATGAACCCCCCACAGTTCAGTTATCGTAGGTGACTCCAATTTGCCGACGCATCTCATCCGTTATGGCAACCAACTCTAGACTTTCGGCATGCGTGAATTTCGGACTCTCCAGCAGACGCTTCTCAATGCAGCGACGCACTTCCTCTGCCTCGTACCTCAGGCCACAGGTATTTGTGTAATGGAAATCAAATTTGGCTTGGGGCAAAGGCCAAGACTCTGGCGGGCCATTCGTACGGGTCATCTGGGTGCAGCACCAGTAGTTCGACAGCTGGAAGATTTACAAAGTGTGGCTTAGTCAGCGGCCTAGGCGATAATCTCCCTGATCCCGTAGGCCGGAGATAAGCGCTCACCTTAATCTCGCCTTTGGTGCCCGTAATGACGGCATCGTTCTCCAGATTCTCCAGTCCAGTCACCAAAGCCGTAAGTCTCCGTCCGTCTCCATAATCAAGCATGAACTCACCCTGAACATCCACTCGCTCTTTATTTAGATGCGTGCCACTGGGCAGAATTTTGACGGGCGAAACTCCGAAGACAAACTGACCCAGCTGCAGAGCATAGATGCCAATGTCCAGAAGAATGGAGCCGCCAAGAGAGCGATTGCAGACCCGGTCCATGTGACTCAGGCGAAAGCCGTGTTGGACCTTCACCTGAGTGACCTCTCCGATAATGTCGCTGTTCAGGTGCTCCCTCAAGCGATCGTAACTGGGAAAAAATCGTGACCACATGCCTAGAATTGAAGAATAATTTAGTTTGGTAGACCGTAAAATGGAAATCCTACCTTCCATGAGGAATACTCCGCGCTGCTCTGCCACAGCATAAAGCTCCTTGGCCTGGTCCAGTCCCAGGCACATGGGGGTTTCACATAAAACATGCTTCCCCCTGGATAGCATCAGATGGACGACGGCATGATGAAAGGGATTTAGGGTGCCCACATATACCACGTCCACCTCTCGATCCAGGGCCAAGGCATCGAATCCATCGTAGTGGCGCTGGATCTGGTTTCTCTGAGCGAACTCTTGGGCCCGCTGGCCATCCACATCCGCCACAGCTACCACAACATGCCGGGATTTCTCAATAGTGCTCAGGGCAGTGACAAAGTCCTGCGTTATCCTGCCCGCCGCCGCAATGCCCCAGTTCAGGTTCGTCTGGCTTTGCATTATAATTCCTGATATATAGTCTGCGTTCTGCTTTCGAATCGAGTCTCTCTCGGGCTCGTGTCCGGGCAGCTACTAACGCCATGATAATGATACTGAGTGCCCGTCCCGAGGGGTCTCCTATCAGTCCCTGGCATCTGCATTCATTGCACTTTTCGTATTCCATAGCATTTCGGTTGATAAGGAACACCGAGCACAGATTCACGAATGCACAATGACAATCCATCAAAATGACATACTATAGTAGGTGATAGTGGATAGATATTAATGGAGATGTGAATAGTTTTCTTAATTCCTTTTTAAAAATTAAAAATCTAAACAAAAGTTAGTACAAAATCGAATTAAACCAAACAAATTTTAATGTTAAATATATAAAAGGAAACACTTAAATATTTTCCATATCAACACATTTATTTGTTGTTATATTTATTGTAAGAATTTAATAACAAATCCAAAAAGCACTCTACATATCTTAACATTCTAGAGACTTTCAAATTTTAAAGAGTTCTACGCAATCGAACATTGACAATTGTCGTAACAGGGTCTTATCATTTCCTTCTGAGACGAGCCCCTTTTTTTCCCGACAATCAAATGATAATATTAAGTGCACAAAACTTAAAGGTACAGTTGCGCAAAAGTTTTTAAAAAACTAAAGATTTGCTAGAAGAATTCAAGTAACACAAGTTTCTTGCAATTTAAAAATTAAGAAAAAAATAAGTAAATAAAATTCACATATTGTAGATCATCACAAAAGCTATGACTAGGCCTTAGCTGGTAATACCTTTAAGAGTAGGTGGTAATCTTGACGGGAGATAAGGGAGCAGAAACCCCACTAGACCCTGGAGATAAGAGGCCTATGCTGGCGCTCTCCTACCAGCCCCTAAATTAAAAATACGCCTATCATGCACTGAAAACGTGATCAATTGTATAGTGGGAAGAAATGTGCTATATCATCTACATTAGTTACACCCCGGGTAGGATTCGACCTAGTGGAAATGTCATTGCTGGCGTTTCTATAATCAATATTTCGCCTTATCGGATTGTTTGCAAATCCTTGATTTAGAGAGGGAGAAATTATTGAGAAAAGTTTCAATAAGGAAGAAGGAAAGGTGAGACAAGCATTAGGATCATATATTTCACCTTAAAATATATATATAAAACGTTTACTTTTTCAAATTAGTTTTTTTTTTTTATTTTATGTTACTTGTTTAATTATATAAAATCTATATTTATTCCTCATCAAACTTGTTCAGCACACCGATCTGCTTGCGGATGGTATCCTCGATCTCGGCGAAGAGCAAGCTGTCGGCATAGGTTACATTCTTGTTCTCCACTTCGCCGGCGAGGATGGACTGACGCACAGCCTCAGCCTCGTACCTCATGGCCTCGGAGTTGGCATAGTTGGTCTGATACTTGCCTTTGGGCGGGAGCCACTCCTTCTCCTGACCATCGATGTCGATCATCTTGTTAGGCGTCCAGAAGTCAATGAGCTAATGGTATAATTAAGAATATATATATTAAATTCTGTTAAATCATGATTGATTAGATTAGACTTACGGTAACCTGTCCTTTGGTGCCCTTGATCACGGCAGTGTTGGACAGTTTTTCCTTGGAGGAGAAACGCATGCGAGCAGTGCGTCCGCCACTGTAAGTCAAAGTGGCACTGACATCATCGTCGATGCCCTCGGCATTGAGTGATCCCTTGGACTCGATCTTCTGGGGCTTCTCCTGGAAGGCCCACTGCGAGGCCTGGATGGCGTAAATGCCCAAATCATAGACCACTCCGCCTCCAAGCTCGCGTTTTCTTTGGAAACGATTGCTAGTAAGAATTTATTTTGAATATTTAATTGTCTCTGTTTACTCACTGCAAACGATCCACATGTTCCAGGGGGAAGCCAAAGTTGACCTCCACGTCCTTGATCTGTCCCAGCTGGCCGCCAGCGATGAGCTCCTTGACGCGCTGGTACGAGGGGAAGAAGCGAGACCACACCGCCTCCATGAAGAATCTCTTGTTGGCCTTTGCTGCCGCCAGGATGCCCTCCACTTGCTTCTTGTTCATGGCCAGAGGCTTCTCGCAGAGCACATGCTTGCCATTGTTCAGCATAAGCACGGCCACCTCGTAGTGCTGTGGGTTCAGGGTGCCAATATAGACAACATCTGGGGAATAGAATTAAGATTAATTAGTTTTTTTATAGTTAAAAGTTTACAAAATTAAAAGGTGTAAAGGTAAAGGTAAAATTCGTTGAATATTATCAGGAAATACTCACCCACATCACCGCTCTTGGCCAGCTCCTCGTAACTTCCGAGGGCCTTGGGGATCGAGTGCTTGGTGGCAAACTCCTGGGCGCGATCCAGGGATCGGGCGGCAATAGCCTGGACCTTGTGGTCGGTGCCGGGCAAAGTGCTCAGAGCAATGACAAAGTCCTCGCTGATCTTGCCAGCTGAAGCGATTCCCCAACGGATCAGTTTCGACATGTTGCTGGCTTCTGGGACGGGCTGCGAATGAGTGGAGGAGCCAAGTGAATTGTTAGTTAAATATGGGTGGGAACCAGCGCGGAACAGCCGCGTTATCAGCAAAGAGAAGGGAGAATGCTAGAAGCTCTCTCGCTTTGAGTGTTTATCTTCCTCCAGCAATTGTTTGGAAGCAAATCGACCAAAAGTAACAATTGTGTTATTTCACAATGTTATTGAGTTTGACCTTGTTTGAGTATGACTTTAATTATTCTGGATGCCACCTGTATTCAATCCAAAGTTATCAGTCGATCGAACGAGCCCTCTCCTCTCGCTCCCGTTGCCAATAATTTCCTCCATAAATCAAAAATTCTTGTCACGTTCGCACTACTGAACAGAGATAAATCGAATAAAACCTATAATAATATTTATAAGAGGAGTATTTTTATATAGTCACGATTTAATTAATTTATTAGGAACTTTTCTCTTGGAGCCTGAAACAAATATTTCTCTTAAAAAAAAGTAAAGCCAAAGATGGTTTTCAACTGTAAAAACCAAAATTAACAAAAAGTATATAATAACTAAATCCTAAGGGATTATTGACTTAAAGCTTATTTTTCCTCATCCATATAAATTACTTCCACCACTCATTTTCTTCCAGTGCAGTGATATTTCATAGCATTATCCCCGGTAACCATTTGTTTGTTTGTCTTAGCTTTTGAGCTGACAAGTGTTTTACAATAAATTACACTTAAGCACTTCGGCATTTCTAATTAATTTCCTTTTTTGCATTTGCAGTTGATTTGCATATAAAACTTATAATAGCCTTGAGAATGTAATTAGCCGGTTATTTTTTGCTTTGTAATTTGTAATAATAACACGACTTGACTTTAAATTTGTTAAAATTTTATAATTAACTCCCATAAAGTATATATAAACTATATATCCAATTAAATGCCTTACGTTCAACTTGTGGCAGAACTAAACGTTTGGATAAAACTTTCCACTGTGTTGTGTTTACGTGCGACAGTTCTATTTATAACCTTTTTATAAACTATACTCTGTACACCCAACGACATAAAACGATTCGATTTCCTTGATTTACTCAAGCTCAGGGCTTTTGACGCTCTCACTGGGTGCACAATATAAAAACGACATTCTCAACGTTGCTCTGTGAATGCTTTTTAGAAGAAGAAGTTGTGTATTTGCTTAGATATTTCAAAAATAGTTGGCGCAATGAGGATTAGATATGAAAATACATCAAGTTTAAGCTAAATAAGGATGTAATGTTTACGATAAAGAGTCAAAATTGCTTCCACAGCAACCGAATTTCTACAACAAAAGGAGCAAAAGTACCAAGCTTTGTTTGATTCTTAAAAAAGATTTACAAGAACGTATAAAAGCGCCTTTTAAACAGAACTTTGGAATATAAGAATCACACTTAACCTATAGTAAACTATAAATTATAACCTAAAGTGATCTTTAAGGGAAAAATCACATTGTTATGATTTCTTTTCCAACATTTGTTGGTGGAATCGGGAATTTTCTGCTTCCATGCGGTTCATAGTTTTTTCCAAACGCTCCAAAACGGTCAGACGCCGTTCGCCCAGATATATTAATTGCTCCCTAAACTTTCGCAGCTCCCTGTTGCGTTCTCTAGCGGCCGCCAGCATTCCCACCTCGAAGGGAACAGATTTTTTCGCTTTTTTCGGGGGTGGCTTGGAAGACTGGTCGTCGTCACGATACCCCGTAGTTTTTTCCTGGGCAACAGGTCTTTTTACTTTTTTCGGGGTTGGCTCGGGAGACTGGTCGTCACGTTTCCCTTCTAAATCTTCGGCATTGGCCTCCAGATATTCGGTCAAGTATTCAGTTTCTTCGTAAGCTTCGTCAAACTTATCAAAACTGTCCACTAAATTTAAAGATTTTTACAATCTGGAATAACCAAAGAATATATTAAATATTCAATTTACCCGGGTTTGCAGGTCTGCAGTGCCTGAACATCTCGTGGAGTCTCTCAAAGTGAATCCAATGCGACTCCAGTTTTTTTGCTTCCACTCTGAAACGGAGAAGTGTTTGAGTCTATGCCCAGGTGATAAGTTCCGGGAATTCACCTGTACTTCTTGGTTAAGTTTTCCTGCTTGTTGCGCACCTCTTTCGCCTCGATTCCAATAAATCCAGCATCGTCCAGCTGTTTGGCCATCATCCTCCTAATTTGAGTTTTTGTCAAGCCGGTATACGGCTCCAAGTTCCGTATGCTCCTTTCCCACATATCCAAAAGCATCTCCTCGTAATACTGCGACCACGAAACGGATAGTTTGCGTCTATTTAGGCTCATCTAAAGTCGGTTAAATTGGTTATTTTGAAAAGTTTGTTTTTTGAATATATTCATTGTTTACCTTTTTTTTAGGATTCACAGTCAGCTGTTTATAGGGATGGGAAAAATATAACAATATATCGATATTTTGTCTGAATATATCGCGATATTTTAAAGTCTGGTACTTTTGGTCGCTGGGACCGAAAAGTCTGGCAACACTGGTAGCTCGCACAGCAGCGTTGCCAGACTTTTTGAGTCCCAGCTACCAGTGTTGCCAGACTTTTCGGTCCCAGCGACCAAAAGTACCAGATCGTCAATATATCGATATTTTTCCTGAAAATGGGAGTGCTGCCAGACTTTTCGGTCCGAGTTGACAGCGCTGCCAGACTTTGCGATCAGAGCGACCAAAAGTACCAGATCGTCCGTGCATGAGAACAGCGAGGATGCAAACCATATCACGGATGAGAACCTGGTACATTTTCTGAAGGTACATACAGTGGCGGTCCAAAAGGTAGGCCACATTAGAGGTTTACGCCGATGGTTAAAGGCATCGGCGGCGGCGTAGAGGTCAAAATGACTCGGCGGCGGCGGCGTAGTAGTCAGAAAGAACCGGCGGCGGCGGCGCGTCAAATAAGGCAAAAAGGCCATTTTAATGAGTTATTTTTTTTTTTTTAAGTTTTATAAAGAACAATGACACTGAAGGCCGCGCTGAAGCTGCGCCGATGCCGCACCAGCGGCGCGCCGCGGCGCGCCGTTATTTTCATAATTTGGCGGCGGCGCGTCAAATAAGGCAAAAATCGGCGGCGGCGGCGGCGTGGCGCGGCGGCGTATATGTCTAGGCCACATATACACTAACTATCTTCAATTGATTTAAAATCTGTATTATATCTGTATAGTAATTCTTTGTGGAATATAAATTGCAATAAATTACTACTTTAAAAATAATAATTATAATTATTAAATAACTTAAAATTAATTAAAATAGATTAGTAGACTGGAGTAATAATGATTGATGAACTCCCTGATTCGACTCATTTTATTTCTTGAAAGGCGTTAGCATTTATGTTTAATTAAAATCAAACAACAAAAGATATATATAAAGAAAAAAAGATAAATCAATAAGGAACCCTGTATCATAAATTAATAAATAACCCTGTTTTTATGATGATTTTAATTTGGCATTTATCATAACCATTTGATATCGTTCCGATTGATCGCCCGTACACACAGATACCCACACACACTTGGTTAACTGGTCTTCAGATACGAGTATTTTCTTTCGCAGCTCGCCAGAGCTACTCAAGTGTATCCAAACCTAGTATTGGAGCAGCATAATTGGCATATGGTTTTGTGAATACTGAGTTTACTTTTCAGTCTCCAGTTCAGTTCGGTTCGCTTGAAGAATCCATCTTCTCCTGTGATATTTCGTGCCAATTTTCTAATTTAAAGCTGCATATTTATGCGCACACACACAAATCAATTCATTCGGTCTCGTGAGTTTCGTGCATAAATTAATAAGCTCAAATGTAATTTCGTTTTTCGCGTGTACATTGATATATAAATTATCATAAAAACGACGGCGAAATGGAAAATCCCCGGGGTGGGATGGGGTGCTGCGGCAGAGGGGCAGCTGTCATGGCGGCCGCAGCGGAAACGGAAACAAAACAGCATCCCAATGGGGTCAGCGACGACGACCAGTTTCGGTCAGTAGTGTGTCACATGAAATATCCATCATAATAGCCAGGCCTGTTCGTCGGAGCCATGGTGAGATTATATGCCATTTTATTCGCTGGCTCGCCTAATTGATTTTATTTTTATTTCGTGCTGCTCTGAGTGTGTGTGTTTGCTCGAAATAATAGTCGTGCGACTGTAGTTGGGCGACTAATTAGCGTTCACAAATAATTGAATAATGATCCGCTGTGCCGCTCTTAAGCGTTTCCTCTAAACAGGAACTGGTTGCAGTTGCAGCTTTTCCATTTGATTTATGCGACCAGCGAAAATGGCCATAATAAATGGTATTTTTGAAAATCAGGACAGGGACATTCGGAAGTGACATGGATATCTGCGTAAATCAAGTTGGGATTTGATTAATAATGGAAATATATTTTTGGAATAATCTTTATATTCTCTTTACTTGTATTGTATTTAAAAAGATAATGAATTGATGAATTTAGAATTCTTTTAAAATGTGTATTAAAGTCTACAAATGAACATATCTTTTTTATTTTTAATTTAATTAAATATATATTATTGCAAATTTTTGGCTCATTTTTAATTGATTTAAAACTGCCGCAATTTCCGTGTCAATAAAAGGAATAACATACATTATAATTCATATATCCTAGCAATATATCCTTTGAATAAAAAATATGTGTAATATATCCATTGTTACCCCACCACATATGGCTTCATTTTCATTTCATATTTATGGCAAATCATTTCTCAATTTTACACCGTTTAACTCCCGAAAAAAAAGAGGCAACCAAATATTAACACATTCATCTCCCCTGTAGCACACCTAGGCGTGTATATCAAAGAAATACCAGTGAAATGGCAAAATTAATGTTTTTTGTGTAAATATAAGGCATGCATATTTCATGACAACGTGCCAAAGCTTCAAAAATAACCAGAGCGACAGCAGGGGATGGATTGGGAGCGAGCATTTAAGTTAATGGGTCGCGTCTTTATGTCTCGCTGTCTGCCCGTCATTGTATTTATGCATTATTTATTTTTGTTTTTATACACTTTGTTATCATTGCTTTTATCATTAATATGAACATGTTAAAGAACATTAATTTATACATATGTATTTGGCGCAGGCAAACGAACAACGCGTGGCTGCGTATAATTTCGATTGGCGCCTATCAGTATGCAATGGCATTTGGTTTAATTTTATTAAAAATATATTTAAAGGTAACTAAAGATTGTGATGAAAAATGAATGATAATGATAAATATATAAATATAAATTTAATTAAATATTCTTTTTTTTTTTGTCATTTCAAATTTTTTTGAGTTTCACAATCAAAATACAATAACTTGATGCCGATAGTTGATGGCTTTTTTAATTTTCGTTGTCATGCGTGCTTATTGCACTGTTTGCTTATAATTCGCAATGTTTCGCAATTTTTAAATTTATTTCCCCTCGTTTTCGCCATTCGTTATGCTGTCAATTGTCAAATGGATATGCGCCTATGATGCAGAAAATGTGAAACAAAAGCAAAGAGCGTCCATTCGCCTTGCAATAACATTTATTTATTTACAATTTATACTTTATGCCATTGCAATTGTGTGCGCTTCCGGTTTATGTGTTTCTCTCTTTTTGCTTTTCCTCCGCTCGGGTCAATTCGATTGTTTAAAGTGCAATTTTATGAAAGCGTTAACGGGGAATTACATTTTGTACACGTAATCCACCCCTTACCGCCCACTAAGCCGTCGCCGACCCACAAAATATATAGTTGTTGTTGATTTGTAGATTTGAAAATTTATTGGAGCAGAAAAAAGGACTATTTCACGGGAAATTTGTTAAGCTTACAGCTGGTCAGTAGTGGTGGAGTTAATTGGAAAATGTATGCATACAAGAAAGGAAATGTAGTTTCTTTCACCGAACAATGTGTGTTTGCCACGCCCACACACCCGTTACCCACAATGGATTCTTTAGCAGATCTGATAATTTGCACATTTTATAGTTAGTTGGATACAAACATTTGGGGACATTCGCTTTAATTGCTTTTTTCCCCTCCATTTTGCATAATTAGAATTTGATAAAATGTTTCAATGGCTTTTTCCCCAATTGCAACATATTCCCGCCCCATTCATGCCACGCCCATTGCATGCTGCCATGTTGCATGAACATGTGAGGGGGGGGTGTGTGCGTGTGTATGCGGTGACTTGCTGTGCAAATTCGATTTTAATAATTGGAATTTATCTCTGATCAAATTTCGTGGTTGCTGAAAATGTGTTCCATGCACGGAAAGAAAATAGAGAGATTAACGATTTAGTATTAAGATTGACGGATTATATATCCTAGCCTTGCAGTTGGTTGATTATATATCCTAGCAGGATCTACTTGCAGTCTAATCATGCTTAATATTGAGTTCTGTTAACAAACAGGTACTAAAAACATCCATTGGCCAAGCCAGATACAACTTAAAACTCATGCCATAATTTCCAGATTTAATATAAAACTTAACAGAATAACATTTTCCATTTTAATACTGCCTTTCTCCGTGTACTTTTCTACCCCAAAAAACTCCCCTCACCCCGCAAATGCCCAGTAAATTAAATTGGTTTTTAATAGGCCAACGATGCGTTTTTGCCCCAAAAACATCGATTGGCGTCGATTGATTTGGCAGTTAACAAACATTTCTGGTCTCTGCCTTGCCCCGCCCTGAAAAAAAACATCAAAAGTTTGCCAGGGAAATAATTCCCAGAATTTGCACATATTTGTAGCCAGCTATGTCAGCGCCTTGAAGAAAATTGCCTGGCAAGTGGAGCTTAGCTGTCGAAGGAGCTGATCGCATTTAGAGCTGACACCCACACATACACACCCACAAGTCATCTGCATTTCCCTGGCGCTGACTTTTCCGCATCGAATTGCCTGGGAAATTGTATTGACACTCATCGTCCTGGCTGCTCTGTTCAGCTCTGCTCCTTCGGGTTTCCTTTGCTCGTCCTATCTGCCTCTTTATTTGCTGATGCGACAAATTGACAGGCGAAATGGAATGGGTTGGCAGGCGAATTTGTTAATAATCTGGCATGTCTTATATGGATTGCAGGCAGCAGAACTAAGCGTGTTTCTGTCGGAGTTATTGGCGATGAATGCAATTAGTCCCATCTGTCAGGGAAACCTACTATTTAAAATGAAATTAAAATTTATGGAATACCAGAATTAAATTAAAAGGCAACGAATCTTGATACACATACTTTTCTATAGCATTTATTTATATGATTTTTTTGTATTCAAATTAAATGTTATACTTAAATTCCTTTCCCATAAATTCCGTTTTCAGACACATACTTTAGTGCCCTGGAAGTACCCTTAATTAAATAATAAAATATGCTAGCAATGTTAGCTTTCAGAATCCTTTTTTTCATGACATTCTGCATATCGTTACACTTTTTTTTATTAACAAATATGTGTGTGTTTACGCTGTGGGACTTTTATAAATGATGATTCAATTAATAAATTCTCGTTGCAAACTAATTTGAGGCCCCAAAAGGAGTCCCTCGTTGCCCTTTCTTTCGCTTCTTTAAAACGAAATATGAAAAAGATGTTTATGTGCTGAAAATCCGCCAAAATCCGTGACAGCAACAATAAAGCTCGGCGGCGGCAAAATCTCGTGTGGTTGTTAAAAAATTTTCGCTTGGCGCGTTGCAATTGTGGAAAGCTGGGGAAAACCCGGGGAAAAAGCCGGCCCCATCCAGGGGGGGCCTGCGCATTCATTTTTTATGTTTATTGTCGCTTATCGTAGGACGCGGGGCAGGACAGGGGGCGTGTCATTAGAGTCTCGGCGCCAAGATGAAAAAGAGTAAACAGGGCTATGAAAAAACGTTAACAACTCTCTTGGGGGGACGAGAAACGCATTACACACACAATCTTTCAGCCGGTATCTGGGCGCGTGTTTGCAACTTTATTAGCCGTCTCCCTCGGCGGAGAGCGAGTGTGTGTGTGTGTGTGTGTATGTGTGAGGGTGTCCTGGCGTGTGTTTCCCCTGTCAAAGTTATGAAAACCATAGGGGACCTCCTCCACCTGGCATGCCATACTCCTACTCCAGGTCCTCTCTGAAAGGTAAAATTAGTCTGGGGCTTAGATTTCCACACACAGATATTTTACTCGCAATATTAGGTTGCCAAAGGAGCACATTCTAGGATGATTTAAATAACTCAACTCGCTGCAAACGGTTGAGCATAAAACTCATCTTTTTTTTAATGCAAAAATGTCTTTTGTTTAAAACAGAATCTTATAAAAATGTATGGTTGTAGGTACTCTTATAAAATTCTATTAAAAGATAACATTTAGTCGGAATTAATTAAAGTATATTGAATAAGATAATGATGTTATTTTACTATTCTTCCTTGAAAATAATATTTAAGCTTATATAAACTCTTATTCTCCCCTTGAATACCAATTCGTTGAAATAATTTTGACCACCTTTTATTACCAATTTCTGCGGCGCCTGCTGCTCTTAACCTTTCCCAAACAGACTTTCAATTACCCAGCAACTCGGCAACTCATTTGCGATGATAACTGCGGCCAAAGGCGGCGTAACGTGGTCATGCATAATTCCAAAGGGCCCCCCAAACTCCGTCAAGAGATATATTCCATTTTCGAGGCTAGAAGGAATTTTTCTTTAATATTTTTGCAAATGATTCCGGGAAATCTCGGAGCGTGCTAGCACCTCGCCGGGGTCATTTAAATGCAGATTGCAATGAGCAGTCTGTCCACTTGAGAGCCTGGCATTTGCATAATGGCGGCGACACATTGCACCGGAACCGGAAACGGAAACCCGAACCCATAGTCGAGCCCAAGCCCGAGTCCGAGGTCAGGCTTGCTATCCGCCACCCTCGCAACGTAACAGCAGGGACGAAGTGGCAAATCGTGGCAGTTGCAGGTGCTTGGTTCGTGTTTATGACTCCTTGAGATTTCCCGGGGTGTCGTCGTAGCTGTCGTCGCTGTCGTTGCCAAGCGGAAGCATCCCTGCGTCTTCACAGAAGCATTCCTCGCAGCCGATGGCCATGGGGCAGTTTGGAGGGCCGCTGCAAAGATGGACGGTTCTCATTTGAATGCAATTGCCATAAATATGCACTGGACGCACATTTTAATACCTACTTAAGGGTTGTAATAAGGGCTATAAAAATGAATTGAGAAGAAATATCAGACAAATAACTTTTTGTAATGCAACGTATTCATAATGAAAGCCTTAAAAAAACCAGGATAGAGAAACCTAGCTTTCTCTTGGCCAGGGCTTTAATTATTTCAATAAAATTGGTACACATTTTTTAGTACAAAACATGTTTACAATTTAATTTTTATCATACATACCAAACATTTTTTCTCTCCACGCAAAGTTCAATTTTGGGAATTTTCCAAAAATATTTTTACCTTGTCCATGGCCCTGGTGGCCCCTTTGCCTCTGTTGGTGGGATGTTTATGTTGCCACAATGTGAGGCACGCATAGAGCTCTTCGACCCCAACAACCAAACACAACAAACAGCCACACACACACAATGGAAGGTGCAGCTGTGACTTTGGGTGGGGCAATAAGGGCAGTTCCAGGCCGATCAGGGAAGGGAGGGAGTGGTGTCAACTGTTGTCAGTTAGTGTGGGGTGAAAAAGAGCTCGACAGCAGCTGGAGCCACCTCATGGAGCACTTGTAAAAATGTTCTAGATTTGTTTCTATTTTTTTCAGAAATATTTGAGGTGTTTTTTTATGGAAAACTAAAGGAATATTCATTTAGTTTTCAGTTAAGACAGAAGTTAAAGGTTAAGTTTGATATTATATCTATTTTTAAGGATGCATATTATTTTATATATTTTTTATGAAGAGTAGATGATATATTTAAGCCTTAAAATATAATGAATAAATTAAGTTTTTCAAAATATTATATCAGAAATTTTTACCTTCGAATATTATGAGTAAATTATAAATTTGTAATGCATTTCATAGTTTTAATATTCTTAAACTAAAAAAATAATTTAAAAAAAAATCTGCTAAATAGTAAAAAATGCTTAAAGTCTTTGTAAAAATTAAATCTCTATGAAATGTATTCTTTTACATTTTTTCTGTAGTGTTAAAATCGTTTCCGACTGAGCTTTTGTTGCTGGTGTGGCATAAATATCGTTGCGGTTGCACGTGAAAATTGCATTTGGCCAGCATTTGGCTGCTGTTCGGATAGTTCCACTCGAAGTGGAGTGTTTTTGGGGGGTGTACGGTGTGTGTAGAGTTTGGGTTGTGAGGTGTGTGTGTGTGTGTGTGGGTGCGCCCTTAACACGCTGTGCAAATTGTGGACTTAAATGTTTATAACGCACCACCAACCTTCAGCATCACCTCCCACTCAGCCTCAGCTCTTCTCCAGCATTTTCGGCGTTTGTTTATTAAGCTTTTCTGGCGGGACTGGGCGGGGAAATAGAAAAGGCAAAAAAAAAAAAAGGTGTTGAATGCCACTTGCTGGGGCTGCTTTTTATTGCCATCGCCCATGGCCCATCTAAGTGCAGCAGCTGTAAAATAAATATATATTTTTATTTTATCCCCCCCTCAAGCCCTGGTCGTTTCTTTAGCTTTTATTTGTTGTAGTTTGGGCGGGGATATAAATTAAACGCATTAGAGTAGGAAACCACAGCGATTTTCCCTTACGTTTTTTTTTGTTCCCTCCTTCAGCATTAATTCGCTTTTTCAAACCGACAAAGGCACTTAATGCTGTCTCCCTTTCTACTTGGCTATTTTGCTCTCTTTCACTGGGTTCGCAATTGAAGCGTATACAAAATTTAAATAAGAAACAAATCGAAGTAATGGCCAAGACCCAGCATACCTACACCTCCCACTCCTTCGATTTCTAGGTAGCAAATACCAAATGCTCAAACGCTGTAAAAGGCATCGAGAAAAAAAAAGCGAAAAAGGAGAATCCTGCCCGATGCTCTTCACATAATGAAAAAATAAAGGAAACCGAAAATCCATTGAAATGAAATTCATTGAAGCATTTTCCGGGGCAAAAAATAAATGGTAAAGGGAATTAATGACACGATACTGTTGCTTATCAAACACGTTTTCACCTGTCGGAAAAACTGTTAAAATGCAATTTAAAAGTTATGGCAAACAAGGGTGTGAATTCAATAAAAAATTGTTAAAAAATAAAACAAAAATATATATCAATATAACAAGGCAATATAACTTTTAAATTGTATGAAAAAATAGGTTAAAATTGATTTTTAGGAAAAGTTAAAATTATATTAAAAAATGTAATTGTTTGCCATTGAAAAAATAAAAAAATTTACCAAATTTTCAATAAATATATTTAGTATATATTAAGCCCTCCCATCTTATCAATAGGATCAAAACTATTTACTTGTATTGCATTTGGTGTAAACCAATTTAATATAAAAATAGCTACAAAGTCTAGGGGAAATAAACCGACATTAATTTCGTTTTGGATCGAAGTGATTCAATATCGATGATAGCCCACGAGAGTCGTTCGCTCGGCTTCCATTTAAGCGAAGAAAGAGCTTAGGGCCAAGCTCTTAAATGGAATGACTAACCATCTTAATCACATCACACACACACAGATGGAAGACACCGAGGGATACGAGCAGCTGGCAGTCGGAGGAACTAAAACGCCGGCATTTCGGCAGCTGTCAGTTGTTTGCCACTAAACGCTTACAGCCAGCCAGCAAATAAAGCGGGAGTACGCGAAAAATGTGGAAATTTTATATAATCAAATGGCAGCCAAAAACGGTTTTGTGGCCAGGACGGACGGACGGACGGCTGACGGCTGACGGCGAACTTCTTACTCCAGCTCTTCCCAATGGCTCTATGGTTTTTCCGTACTTCAGCCCACCCATTGTTTGCCTTCGTTTTGTCTTGCACTTTGCATACAAAGTACCATTAACTACTGGCATCAGTTTTTCACACAACAGCAGCGGCAGTAGCAGCAGCACTTGATGGTTGGCGGTTTTTCCACAGATTTTCTTCGCTTTTGCTGGCCAGCTAAGTGAAAGGCAAAATAGCCAAGCCAAGTGCCAAGTGATTTGACCAGGAGTACTCCATTTGGTTTAAATGGTCTTTGGTTTACCTGATTTTTTTTTTAGGAATTTTAAGATAGTTTTAACTTTTACAGGTAATATTACTTTCAAGGGACTCTAAAATATGTTTAAAGTTGGGATAAGAACTCTTAAAATTTTTATTAAAATCGGTTATTAATATTATTTATATATAATTTCCAGGTATTGAATTTTCCAGTCATAATTCTTTCTAGTCATAATCTCTTATAATTCTCAGTTTCAACTGAGGTATCTTAAATTCTGTCTACTAGTCGGTGAAGTAATACTTTGAATAATTTTGGGGTTTCCATTTTAAGAGTGCTAGTATCATCCAATGTTGTCGTCTTTTCCGATTTGTTGTGGAAGAAACAAAAGTACACGACTAGTGCCGCTATGAGTAGTACTCCGAAGACGGAAAAGACTAATAGGCACAGCAATTTCAACCCCAATTGGCAGCAGCTGCAAAAGGTGAGAACAAAACTAGATTTACAAGTCATCAGTCTTGGGAAAATTAACTTACCAACAGAGACAACTTCCCAATAGCCGCAAACACATCTTTTTGTACAATCGATTTTTTCTTTGTATGTAAATTTTTGTTCAAAACTTTTTTAACGAGAATTATGACTGAAATCTCATTGGGATACTTGGCCATATGCTCGGGGGTAAAATGACATCAATTTCGGATTATTACTTTCACAAAACAATTCGAATACTTTGGCCATAAAAGTGATAACCACACCTCACCTCTCCGCCCCATTCCGTTAGCATATTTTGGCTTTCAAGCAAATTATATTTTATGCTATTTTCTTACGAAAATTCGTTCTTTTATTGCCCGGCAGTACGGGAACTTCGATTAACCTAAGCCAGGCATAAGGGTTGGCTTCTTTCTCCTCCCCTCTCTCTTTGAATTGTCGTCGAGGGCCGCCAGAAAATTTACAGAAATAAAATAAAATGGAAAGAAAAGAAAAAAGCAAGCACTCTCCAGGCAAAGAGAAATGTTCTTTCTGGCCGCATAATCGAAATGTATTTTGGCTTTTTATTGCACTGCCAAAGGTAAGTCTCTTTTGGCCAAGACAACGGGTGGGCGGCGTTGGCCGTGGAATGGCTGTCTGTGTGTGTGTGGGCCCAGGCTTTTGTGCGGGGCGATAACAACATTTTAACGCCTTATGGTCCATTTAGGTAAAAGTGCCGATTACGCTCAGCTTAACCAGAAATTATGACCTCTGAGCCGGCTGGTTCAGCGCTGAGGAACTTTAACTCGAGCCAGGTCGTTCCATATCCACCAATCCCGACCGATAAGGTTGCTAAGTTGCGGGTTTGAAGCTGATTAGGTAGCTGAAGAATTTGTGGAATTTTTCCTAACTAAATATACATTAAATAGCAATAAAATAAACTTAGATTTTGGATGTCACAACCAAGCAAGCGCAACATAAATTTTTTGTTTATTTTAAGTTGGAAAAACAAAACGTTTAATAACAAAGTGTTGTACTATTTTAAATTAAATATCTTGTTGATTATTCGCAATTTTTCATGGCAATAATACTATTAAAAAAAGTCAATTTAATCCTATTTCCATCCTATTGATTTAGAATCCATAGACCATCCACAAATATCCTTTATTAGTTTCGCTTTCATAGCTTCTGAAAACAAAAAGAGCTACAGCTTCATTCAGAGAGATCCGCAAGCTGCCGGGCAAACTTTAGCATCAATTACTCTGCTGGTCACGGATGTGCTTTATGTGGCAGCAACGAGGCGTATGCGCAATTTATTTGCATATGATGACCGGCATTGCGTAAAAATTAATGAAAGGCAATTAAAAGCATTCGTAGTGGCGGCCATTTAATAAAATGTAGGCCGAAATAACAAATAATAAAATGAGGCCCTTTCAAAAGTCATCATCATCCGCTTGGCTCTTAACTGTCAACGGCAAATAAATATTGTTGGAAATTTGCGAAATGCACAAAATATTGCCATTATAATCGAATGATTTCGTTTGTGTTACTTTTGTAATTTAATGCTATTTGTTAGAGACATATTTATGCCTATGAAAATTGAATTCAATTTCGTTTTATTCTGACTTATTTTGTGTTGTTCTGGGCAACGTTTTTGCTATGGCGTGTGTATGTTGTGTTTATTTTTGCTGAAAGTTAAATTGAATTTGCTTTTGGGTGTTTTGGATTTCTTTGCAATCAATTGCCATGACAAATGTTTCTAGTGTTGTTACTGTTGTCGCTTCTGCTTGCAGTTTGGCTTGGATTTGTCAAGACTTTTGTACTCTTTAGTGAAGGTTGCACGGGTTTTGGGTAGAATAAAAAAAATATTATTTTAAAGATGTGATTTTTAACAAAATTTGTAGATTTACGAACTTAAGGGAAAAGTTTAACTAAATGTATTTATGTATGAATTTCCCTAGAAAATATTTTAAAATATATTTAGATATCTTCTGATATTTATATCCCCAAACAAAGTTGAAATGTTAGATATTTTCTTATAATTCCTAAAGCTTATTTAAAGCTCATTTAAGAAATTATTGTTTAAGCTACAAAAATATAATTATTATTTTTATTTCTGAAATTCTACGGTTTGAACCTCTCCCATATCCAACCGACAGGATCACAGAGTAAACCGAAATTCGTTGTGAATCGTAATTGCTGTTGCCGACTTCAGTTTTTATCCCCGGAAAAAGGGGGGAAACGGTTGTCCGTGGACAACTGTGCGCTGCTGCGTTGGGTATCTTGTGCATTATTGCGATTTTACACGCTGCTGCACTCGAAAATGAAACGGACAATAAGCTGCAGTTGGTGGGCGTGGTGGGCATTCCGGGGATCCTGGCCATCCTTTGCCCGGCCATCATTGCCACTGTCCGCCGCTAAAAGCTTTTTGATTATGAAAAATGTTCGAAACATATGCTCCAAATGACTGCGAAGCGTGCGAAGAAAGTTCCGAGCTGCCCTCGTTCCCGTTCCCGTTCCCGCCTCCCCCGGCTTTTTGCAGTGCATCGGAGAAGTGGTCGTTGGGCGGACTATACCTAGGATATATATGTCCTACACGTACTCAAACATTGTGTAAGTAAGCATGTTTTATTTCGCTGCAGCTTTGTGCTCTTGTTTATTGTGGCTTTGCCACTGCCTTTTTTTTACAATAGTTGCCGCTCTGAGTGGACTTTGCTGGTGCGTTGTTAATGGTTGTGCCATTTTATTTAAAAATTAATAAAGTGGCCAAGCCAAGCCAAGCCAGTGCAAATTGCAAAACAAACTTCCGTCTGCCGTTTGTTCTTTGGATTGCAGTTAACTTTCAGCGAAGCGTTCTAGTTTCAAATGAGTTTTTAATAAATGTTCTGATTTATGGGTATTTGCACTGCATGGGAAAAAAGGAATGGGAAATGTATGAGTTGAAGAAAATTTAAGATTAAATTTAAATGTTTTTAAATACTTATTCATTAATAAGAAACGGTTCCCCCAAAGGAATATTAGTTTAAATGGGAAATTAAAATGGTATTTTATTCCAAACACATACAGATATTTTTTAGAAATATTTTGTATTCATTAGAAGATTTTTAGATACACCAAACCAGCATTAAATATTCCTTGTATCTTAAATATTCTTGAGCTGTTTTCCTTGAGTCGTCGACCACCCACACGGTCACCTCTAATGATTTCCAATGATTTCCCCCACATGCTGAGACCTCTGGTTGACAGACTGACTCATCAGCGAAACATTTCCCACTTAGTGGGCAATTAGGTAGCCGAGAGAGTATGAGAGCGATGGTGCTGGGAAAGATCATTGTAAATCAACGAAAGACACTTCCCGATGCGTTGGCCATCGCTCTATACTCTATGCATTTCCCCGAAGAGTGCATTAGCCTTTGTCTAGGCGGAGGACCAACTCGGAGATGTGTGTTCTATGGGGCACAGACACGTAACCGTAGATGCAGCACAATTACAAATAGACGCATGTTGCCGGAACGCACAAGATACAATTTTTTTTGTTAATTGTATTTTTAGCAGCCAACGCAGAGCAAAAAGAGATGGAAATAGTGGAGAGTAAAAAGGACGGGGGACCGAGCGATCGTTTTATGATATTTTTAAACGATATAAACGCTGCTGCTGCGCCGGCTGCTGGTGCTGCTGGTGCTGCTGCCTCCGCCGAGGAGTCAAGTGCACTGAGTGCTCCTCCGCTCTGCTCCGCATTGGCATCAAGCGATCAAGTGTCCGGGGGCAGCCAGTCGCCACAAACATCGGACCAAATGAAGCCATTAGCAGGCGCGGAGTTGTGGCCCAAATATAGACACGCACACCCTCATTTGGTCGGGAGTTCTTCTTGGCCCCAACTCTCTCGGTCTCACGTCTCCAGATCTCGAGTTTCACGGATCTCCCAGACCGTTGTCAATTCTTTTATTTGTGTCTAAATAATTTGTCTGTCTATTTTTTTGTTTCTACAGTAATTACTTCATTTTTTGATGCATTTTCAGAATTAATTTAACTTCAATTAATTAAAATTCAAATTATAAAATTCAATGTAACGTTTTTTTTCTATATTTTTACATTCATCGAGGTCAATTACTACTGTCATAGGCTTAGTACATGTGTCCCATTCGCATTTTCCACAAAATGTTGCAAAGTTCCAAGTGCCTTTATGGCTTGGGGATTCCCGTCACGATTTAGCATTTTTCATCAGCTCAGCGATTTTCATGTCACGTTTTCGCTGACAAAGTTTTGTCCTCCTTAACCTTTTCGCCTTTCCCTCAAAACTTGTGCTTATCCTGGGCGCGAAGTTTCCGCGTCTTCTGCGGCCATATAACTTTATATATATATGTATCTATATATACGTATTTATGTAGGTATAATTCCCGTATTTGGCAAGACCATTTTGCATGTAGTTTGTTTGTTCGCCTTTGCAAAGTTTGTCAGCTTGATGTTTAATTGTTATTTTGTGTCCCTCAACTTAAGGATGTCTGATTTCATTCCGGGCTTGTTCTCCGAAAGTTGTTTGCTGTCAGAAGGGCATAAGTTTGGCTCAGATTGAGCTCTGGCCCTTATGAGAGTTTAAAGTTGCCACAAAATTGTGTGTTTGGTTTTATATAATCCTTTGAGTTAAAGTTAAATATAGTCAGGAGTATAGGTTTAAAATATAGAATAAAATATATAATAAAACAAATATGACTTCAATGTTTAGGTGATATTTAATTTTGAATGAATGATTAATCTTTTCTGGTAACTATATAGCTATTTCCTGTAAACAAATATATGTTGTTTACGGAGAGATGCTTTTTGTTATGTTTTCCATTAGTTTTTGTATCAATTTCTATTTATGTTTGGGTGACAAATTGTTTATGATTATTTTTCTAATATTTTAAATATTAACATTAGAGACAATTTAATCGGATACCTTATGGCATCAAGGGTTAAAATATTTATTATATAAAATAATAAAATTATCCCCTTTTTGAAAAGTTTTCTTCTAACCGGATACATACAATTTCCTTGGGGTGTAACCAGCACATTAATATTTAAAGAATATTTGTTCTTAGAAATATGAATAATAAGCCCGTGTGTTCGTGTAAAATCCACGTTTTGTATCTGTTTCTTCATGGGGGTATCCGTAAATCCGTGTGTCTCTTGTTTAGTCATCTTACATTTTCATATTATTTCCCGTTTATGCGTGGGTGAGTG